ACTTTGTCTTTGCAAAATTCGGCGAATGATGTTTGATTTGTTCCCTTTACGTCTGTAATAGTGAATGGGTCTTGTGTTGGTGCAATGACTAAGTTATTTTTGCTTGGAGTAAGTTCGATAGAAATTTTTCCTGCCCAGTTTGGCAAGTATCTTAAAAACCTGAAGATGAGGAAAGATGACAAGGAACTCTAAGTTTCAGTTTTACTTTGGTTACTGCTGCTGCAGTTTGTCCAGAAAGGTTAACATAAACTCCTGGAACGTTAGGGTCAAGTCTTCTTATTTTCTCAATAGTTGCATACTGGTCTGTTTGTTCTCTAGCTTGTGGTTGTACTGAGTTTCTCAAAGCGAACCATTCATAGTTTGCCCATGTTACTGTTTGAACTAAGTCAGAGTTAGAATATATCTTATATCCCATGAAAACTTCTGGAGCATATTGGTATCCGACATAGAAAATTCCATTGCAACCTTTCTTGTCAGACAACTTGGCAGAAGGTTTTATTTCAATGTCTTGTTCACGTATAAGAATGAGTTGTCAATAGAAATAATATGAAACCTGTCGCAAGCAATATCTACTGTTGTTGAAGAACCTTCTCCAAACTCACCTACGTTTCCATAAGAAACAGCAGTTGTATATTCGTAAGTTCCAGGAACTATTTCTGACCTTCTAATGGCATTGTCGCATTCGTTATACCATTCGGAAACATTTCCGTTCATGGCATCCAAAACTGTTGGCGTTATATTCTGAGCGGCGTACATTTCATATGGGTAAAAATATAGAATAGTTGGATTTATTTGTCATAATTGTTTCGGACCAAGCTTTACTTTCTTCCTGACTGAGTTTTTAACTCTTCTTTTTCCTTCATTGCCACTACTTTCACTAGATGAAGTTACTTTTTCACTACTTTCACTTTGTTCTACTCTTCTTCTTTGGTGTCGCTTTTGGTAACTTGCCCTGCTTCAAGTTGTTGCATCTTTGCCTCATGTTCACCTAGTATGTTGTAAATTTCCCATGTCCTTTTTGCCTTTGGGCTCTGGTCGCCCATCTCAGGTAACCTATATCCTAGAAAGATTTTGTCATAGTTTGTATTTGAGTCTTCGCGTATTGTTTGCATGACTCTTTCCTGAGTTTCCGGTTCAAGCTCTTCAAACAGAGCTTGTCCATATGGAATAAGCTCGTTTCCAAATATATGTTTTTGTAGCCATTCTGGTTTTCTTTCCATGTTACCAATAATATCTTTTGTGAATGGGAAAGCTTTTACCCAATGTTTCAGTCTTGCGTCATTTATTTCTGTAGTTGGTTTTATTTTGTCAAGGAACATGTTTTTCAATACTAACATTTCATTTGGTACTGTCCATTTGAGTTTTCTTAAATATTCATCCCTTCTCGGTTCATTGTCTGCAAAGTAAGTTTTTATGACATTTTGTAAACTTTCGTTTGCAAGGTCATGTACAATAGGTTCTCTTCCTTCTCTCTCCCTAACTTTCTTTCTAAACTCTTCACCAAATATACCATCTCTATGGTTCTGTGTAGTTCTTTGAGATAAATGTTCTAGAACGTCAGGCGTTATATTTCCATCAGCCATGTTCATTTCATACTGGTCCAAAATATCTGCATGTTTCATATCTTTCAATGGCATTAAAGCCGCGCTGAAAATACCAGCTATATCTGGTTCACCATTCACTTCCATTGCGTCTACAACTTCTTGGAATTGTGGTTGTAAGTTTATGAACCACCTATCCGGATTAGCTTTATGACCCCATCTCATTGTAGTTCCATAGTCTGCAGAAACAAAAGTAGGTTTGTTTCCATATTGGTTAGGTTCTGAATGAACTTTAAACAATGTTTCATTTCTATATGTTTTGTTGAAATTTAACCTTTTATTTTCACCGAGTTCAGCCAAAGATTGAACGTTATATGGTCGTAAGTAAAAAGGATTGTTGTATTTGCGTACACTTTCTTTCAGTTCTTCCATTCTATGCTGAATATTTTCATCTGATGTTGGAGTCTTTTGTATGTCGGCGAACATTTTTCGATATTCTTCTACTATGTCAGCCGAATTTTTCTTAGACTCTTGGAAAGATTCCATATTCCCCGCATACACTTGTTGAGGGTCAAGATTTTTCGGCTGTTCCAAATCTTCATCTAGTTCTGTGAAGTTAGTTTCCAAAGGAGGAACTTGTTCGTTTCCTTCAGGCTCTTCTAGCTGTTGTTGCTGAACTATTTCTTCCATGTCTGGTTGTATCTGAACTTCTTCCTGTGGAGTTTCTTGTACCTCATCTGCTGGCATTTCATATATTCCGAGACCGTTTTTAAAAAGTTCCCTATCTAAGTCATCCGGACTCATAAACCTTTCTTCTTTCGTTCCGTCTCTATTTTTTACGCGTTTCATGAAGAGAGTTGAATTATCATTTAGCTCTGACACCAAATATCTCGGAGTAAATTCAGTCATGTCATTTGGATGATATGCTATTAAATCATATCCCTTAGCGAGCTTGTATTTTCCAGGTTTGAAATTATATCCCATTTGGTGCTGAACCATAAAGCTAAATAGGTTCGGGTCAGCATTTCCTTCCTTGAACTTTTTAATAGCTTCTTTATATCTGTCACTAAAGTCAAGAGTATCTGGGTAACCATAGTCTTCCTTAAGCATTTTTAAGAATTCTTGGTTTCCTTGTTCTCTACTTCTTTTATGTCCTTGCTCTGTTTGTGGTTGTTGCTGTGCAGTGTTTTGAACTGTTGGTTGCTGTGCAGGGTTTTGAACTGTTGGTTGCTGTGCAGGGTTTTGAACTGTTGGTTGCTGTGCAGTGTTTTGAACTGTTGGTTGTGGTGCTGGATTTTGAACTGTTGGTTGCTGTGCTGGATTTTGAACTGTTGGTTTTGGTGCATGCCTGTGTCTGTGTCCATGTGACGATGTAAATGTTTTAGGTAGTCCTGGTGCAGGTGCTTCTCTTGGAGGGTTTGGTGGTATATAAGTTCCACCAGCTGGCACATATGTTCCATCTGCAGCATAATGTCCTACCTGACTTTTCGTTCTTAAGAAAGCATTTACTAGGTCTGTTTTGGTCTGTTGTAACTTTTTTTCTTGACTTTCCACAACAGTTGCTCTAACGGCGTCATAGGCACTTTGAACTGCCTGTCTCGTTGCTGCATCTGTTATTTTCGTCATATTTTGTGCTACTTCTCTTAACTCGTTGTCGAAACCTTCAGACTTCAGTTTCTTTCCAGATGAGAAGTCGTTCACTAGTTTCACCTTACTATGAAGAGCTTCGAAGGCGTTCTTAAAGTCAGCATTCATTAAAGCTTCATTTGAACTGTCTTCATCCGCTTGTATTTTTGTCCTTATTGACCCTATAAGTTGGGCTGCTTTGGCGTTGGCTTGGGCATCTAACCAGTCATTATTAGCTTTTATATATTCTGCGCTTTTCATTGCCTTTTGCATGGCTGCGTCGTTATTTTTACTTTCTTTGTGCTAAGTTTTCATACTGTACGGTTTGGTTTTGCAACTGTAAAAGTTTTTCTGCCTTTACATTTGCTTCAACTTCTTTTTTATACTCATCGCTATCCATATATGTCTTCAGGGCTTTTTGTTTTATTTCTTCATTTTTCAGTACTTTATATTGAGTAGTATGGTTTTTCAAATTTATAACATCTTGTTCCATTTTTGCTACTTCTGCTGCTTTTTCTGACACTTTTTTCGCATATTCCTCTGTACTTAGTTCTTTCAGTTGTTCTTCTTTCTTCTTTTTCTCTACGTTTAACTCATTGAGTTTCTTTGTTGTGTCTGTCATATTCTAGTTTCTTTTCGTTTTCACTTATTTGTTTCTGTATGTCTATGTTTGACTTTTTGACATCTGTTATTTGATTTTTGAGTGAACTCAAATTCATTTGACTTTGAGGGTTATAAGCTGTTCCGTCTGCAGCTCCACCATAGCCTGCCATTTTCGCTAAAAGTGCCGCTCTTAAACCTCCACTCTGTGCACCAATAACTCGGTTTAAAAGCATAGGGTTGCTTGACATTTGTTGCAACATAGTGGGGTCATTCATAATTTGTTGTTGCAACTGTTGTTGTGGTGTCGGTTTTACTATTGGATGTTTCAATGCTCTCTTCCTCTTACGTATATTCTTACGTAGCTTACGTGGCATTTTAAGTGAAGTAAAAAACGGTTTTTGACAGATGTTTATATGACACTTTTTGTTCAGCACAAAAAACTACTCGGTCAAAGTGTTGTCAGTTTTGTAAAATAACCGTCTTATCTTGTTTTAAAATGGAGAAAAGGCTTCTCAAAGTATACTTCCTTGGAACGCCCGTAACTTTTCCTGTAGCGACGATAGACCCTTACTTGTCCGGACAAAGTTATACTAAACATCTTCAGGGCTAGAGGGCACGAAGTGCCTGGAGGCCCCACTACCTTTTTTTTTTTTTTTTTTGTATCAAAATGATACTCAAAGATGAACTTTTTCGAAATTGAGGATTTTGATGGTATCAATCTTGATATCAAAATGCAAACTGGATGCTTTTACTATCATAGTTATTTCAAAATCTGAGCTTGTCAACTTTATTATAGCATCAAATTTCAGATCGCTCATATGTGAGTCAGCGTAAATATATATCCCAGTATTTTATTCAGATACTATAGGATCATATTGTTTAGCACCTATTCAATTTGAAATCGATTGCTCTGAAACAATTGTGTTCCTTATTGATCTAGAATGGTCAGCAATCTCTTATCAAGCAACATACTCTCAATGTCTGAAGTATATATCCTGATTATTAATAATGAATATAAAACTCAAGAAAAGAAATAAGATTATAAAATTAATTTTCTAACATGATAAGGATGCAGACTTGGCAATTCTTTAAAAATTTCCGGAGAAATTGTCGCCCTTTGGAGTAAAATCGAAGTAGATTTATAGAGTAAATAGATAATTATTTGTAATGGAAATTTTCAAAAAAAAATAGAAAATTTTAAAAGGAGGAATATAGTTTATTTTTTTTAAATTATACGTGTGCCTTGCGAACATCTGCAAGGACGAGCTGAGCCTGCTTGAGAGCAGCGATGAGTTTGAGGCAAGAGTTACGCTTCTCGACAATGACTGGGTCTTCGTTGAGATCAGGTTCAAGGACGAGCTTTTCGACGAGGTCGAATCTGAGCTGCTTGACTGAGTCAACGAGCATTGTTCTGAAGATTGCCTTTGGAATTGAGTCGATGACTTCCTTGCGGACAATGACGAAGTATCTGTGGACCAAGTCAATGAGCATTGGAACGTTGTTACCGAAACCACCGTTTGCATCGATCTGTGCCTTGCAAGGAGCGAAATCTGGGTGGCGTGTGTTGATGAATGATGTGTGGATATCGATGAGCTTGTTTGCGTAGACAGCAGCTTCTTTAGATGCCTGAACAACGCCATCGATAGCGATCTGGAGAATGTTGTCTCTGAGAGAGAAGAAACGCTCGAGTTCTGGAACATGGACGGACTGGTGGACTTGTACAAGGCGTTCCTTTGCATTGTCAATGCACTTCAAGACGCATGGACGAAGCTTTTCGATCTCATCTTTGACTAATGCGTGGAATGTGGCTTCTGGGAAGAACATTGAGCCACGAAGACCACCCTGGCTTTCAATCATCTTGGCGACAAGCTCTTGTGGAGTGGTCTTGACGGATGTAATCGTAAGCATTGATTGAGGGAATTCATCGATGAGTTCTGAGATGATGTTGGCACCGCCGTGAAGCTGGGTATTGCTAAGTTGGTCACTGTAACCGTTAAGAAGGCCGTTGAGCTCTTCCATGTACTTAGATACGAGTGAGAAGATCATTGTTTGCTGTTCCTCAGGGGTGTTGCCGAGGGAGGTACCGTATTTCTGGAGCTCTGCATTCTTGAGAGCAAGCTGATCGTTAATCTGTGTGTAAAGAGCTGGAATTTGATTCTTGATGTGCTTCATAAGGATTTGGTTAAGAGTCTGTGAGAGGAACTTGGTACCGCAGTTCTCAGCGATATCGGCGTAAGCCTCGTGGCTCTTGAAGAACTTCATTTCGGCATCGGCAGTTGTGGCAACTTTCTTCTTAGCGTTGATATCAGCCTGGCTACGGTTGATAACACCGATGTAGCCGAGCTTGAGTGGGTAGACTTTGTTAAGAAGGATTTCACGAGCGTTTGTGCCGGCATCCATGATATCGAGCTTTGTAAGAACACCGATTGTACGGTCACCGTTTGGATCGACTTCACGGGCAGCGATAAGGGAATCGGAGTTAGCAAGATCCATGTTAGCTGGAGTAATGGCTAAGATGATAGCATTTTGTGGTGTGATGTAATTGTAAACCATTTTCTTGATTTGGTCAGCAATATCAGCTGGTTGGTCTTCGACAGCGATCTTTGTAAGGCCTGGCAAGTCGACAAGTGTGAGGTTCAAAACTGTCGGAGAGTAGATCTTGAGGTTAATTGGTTGATCTGTAACACCTTTGTTTGTACCGCAAACACGGTCTGTCTCGTCTTCAATTTCTTTCATGATTTCATCGAAATTAGTGTATTTCTTTCCGGGATTATGCAAAAACTCGCCCCATTCGGTTGGATTGCCACCTTTTTCAATATGAATTAATTGAAGGATGAGTGGACGACGGGTGCAGATACCCGCGCCACGAGGAAGGAAATCTTTGCCGACAATAGCTTCAAGTACACTGGACTTACCAGCTGACTGACAACCGACAGCAACGATCTGTGGAAGGTCAACAGCATGGGCACTCACAGTTGCAAAAACATCCTGGAGTTTGTTAAGAACAGGGATAAGATTCTGCATTCGATTAAAAAGTGTCAAATGGATTATTTCAATTATTCAAATTATAACCGCCTGATCCGGGCTGAAAACTTGATTTCTCAGCTTTTTTATGCTCTACAGACTGTTTAAAGTATTATTTATTGATAGACAATATCATTCGAAACTTGAACTAAATTTCCAGCATCAATAATTATGAGGAATTAAACAAAACTAAGTTAAATATGATATATCTTGCATATCGATATTCTAAGCAAACCATTGTCATTGGCATATTGCCACAATCCTATTGGTCAGATATAAATCTCAATGCATAAGCGGTATTAAAAATTTGACCTTTCTACTGTATTACATTAAGACTATCTAAATTTAGTTTATTTAAGACTTTATCTTGAGAAAAAATTTAATCTCTCGATTTGTGACTATTCAAATTTTTGATATTGTCAGATGTGATTTAGACTATACGAAAGAAGTACAATTGATTTGCAATAATTATACACGACTTTTTTTTTCTTCCCATCAACATTTTTTTAGAAAATTTTTGACGTTATTGAAATAAATCTAATGAAATTATTTTCATTTTCTAAGAATGAGCAAAGAACTCGCCTGCGTCTACGCTGCCTTAATCTTACACGATGGAGACAAAGAAATCACTGCAGATGCTCTCCAAAAAATCATCGATGCATCAGGTCTACAAACTGATAAATTCTGGGTTCAGATGTAAGCTGATTATTTCAAGAATGCTGACATCGAAGGCATCATTAAGAACCTATCACTTGGAGATGCAAGAATCGCTGCTCCTGCTGCAACTGGAGCAGCTCCAGCACCCAAGAATGATGCTCCAGAAGAGAAAGAAGCCGAGGCAAATAATGATGCTCCACTTCCAATTGCTGATATGTTCGACTTCTAATCTTGAAATTTCATTGATAATATTGATTTCAATGAATAAAAATTAATAACTCCGACAAGGAAATACAGTCTTTTTATCATCATGAATATAATGAAATCCTTAATAAGATAAGTTTTTGGATTTTAAATATAACAGAATATTTATTTATACATAAAAAATCCAATATAATTCTAACGACGGCCTTTCTTACCTTTCTTGCGGTTATTTCTATTATTCTTATTTCTGTTATTGTTATTATTATTATTTCTGTTTTGTGGTTGCTGAGGAGCAACCTCTTCTTTCTTCTCTTTAACAGCTGGAGTTTCTTCCTTCTTCTCTTGAGCTGGGGTTTCTTCCTCCTTCTTCTCTTCAGCTGGAGTTTCTTCTTCCTTCTTCTCTTCTACTGGAGTTTCTTCTTCCTTCTTCTCTTCAGCTGGAGTTTCTTCTTCCTTCTTCTCTTCTACTGGAGTTTCTTCTTCCTTCTTCTCTTCAGCTGGAGTTTCTTCTTCCTTCTTCTCTTCTACTGGAGTTTCTTCTTCCTTCTTCTCTTCTACAGCTGGAGTTTCTTCTTCCTTCTTCTCTTCAGCAACTGGAGTTTCTTCTTCCTTCTTCTCTTCAGCAACTGGACTTTCTTCTTCCTTCTTCTCTTCTGTTGCTGGAGTTTCTTCCTTCTTCTCTTCAGCTGGGGTTTCTTCCTCCTTCTTCTCTTCTACTGGAGTTTCTTCTTCCTTCTTCTCTTCAGCTGGAGTTTCTTCTTCCTTCTTCTCTTCTACTGGAGTTTCTTCTTCCTTCTTCTCTTCTACAGCTGGAGTTTCTTCTTCCTTCTTCTCTTCAGCAACTGGAGTTTCTTCTTCCTTCTTCTCTTCAGCAACTGGACTTTCTTCTTCCTTCTTCTCTTCTGTTGCTGGAGTTTCTTCCTTCTTCTCTTGAGCTGGGGTTTCTTCTTCCTTCTTCTCTTCTACAGGAGTTTCTTCCTTCTTCTCCTCAACAGCTGGTGTTTCTTCTTTCTTTTCTTCTACAGCTGGAGTTTCTTCCTTCTTCTTTTCTTCTACAGCTGGAGTTTCTTCCTCCTTCTTCTCTTCTACAGGAGTTTCTTCCTTCTTCTCCTCAACAGCTGGTGTTTCTTCTTTCTTTTCTTCTACAGCTGGAGTTTCTTCCTTCTTCTTTTCTTCTACAGCTGGAGTTTCTTCCTCCTTCTTCTCTTCTACAGGAGTTTCTTCCTTCTTCTCCTCAACAGCTGGTGTTTCTTCTTTCTTTTCTTCTACAGCTGGAGTTTCTTCCTTCTTCTTTTCTTCTACAGCTGGAGTTTCTTCCTTCTTCTTTTCTTCTACAGCTGGAGTTTCTTCCTTCTTCTCCTCAACAGCTGGTGTTTCTTCCTTCTTCTCCTCAACAGCTGGTGTTTCTTCCTTCTTTTCTTCTACAGCTGGAGTTTCTTCCTTCTTCTCCTCAACAGCTTGAGTTTCTTCCTTCTTCTCTTCAGCTGGAGTTTCTTCCTTCTTCTCTTCTACTGGAGTTTCTTCTTCCTTCTTCTCCTCAACAGGAGTTTCTTCTTCCTTCTTCTCTTCGACTGTGGTTTCTTGAGCTACAGCAGATGTATTGTCTTCCTTGTTTTCTTCAACTGGAACAACTTCCTCTTTCTTCTCCTCTGTTGGTGTTGTTGAATTTTCTTGTTTGTTCTCATCAACAACTAATATCTCTTCCTTCTTTTCTTCTTGTGGTTTATTGGTTTCGATCACTTTAATTTCATCTTCTTCTGCTTTTGTTTCATTAATTGCAGCTTCTTCAAACAAAATATCTCTTGATTTGACTTCTTGTTTCATTTTTCCTTTTCCGTTCTTTTTGTTTTGTTTGTTTTTATTTGAGGCCTGAGCATTTGCAATGTATTCATCTTCATTGACAAGCTCTTGAAGATCTTCATCTGATTTGTTATTTGTTGTCTTCTTTTCTTCGTCAGAAAGATTATCTGGAACTGGAAGAGCTTCATCTTCACTTAACTTTTGCTGTTTCTGCTGTTGAGCTTTCTTCTTTTGGCCTTTTTGTTGATTTGATTTTTGATTTGCAGATTTGCCTCCCTTTTGCTGTTGTTGTTGTTGTGATTGTTGTTGCTGCTGCTTTTGTTGTGGAGTGTCTTGCTTCCTTTGCTGCTTCTTCGCAGCTGAAAGTTCCTTTTGTTGCTTAGCTGAAAGTGGTACATCAGAACTATTGATAATTGCAGCAGGAACAGGGGGTACATCGAAGCTGTTGGATTGTGGTACTGAGGTTGATCCATTTTGTGGAGATAATGGCTCAGGAACTTTGATATTAAGTTTTGATAAAATTTTATTTGGTTCGAATGCATGGTCGCGAATAGATTTGAACAGCTGTGCAAGTTCATTATACAATGAGCCTTCACAGACATAGAAATATGAGAATGATTGCGAATACATTAGCCATCCTGTTTTGACCTTACGAATATAGAACTTTTGGAAGCGCTTTTGATATTCAATGAGTGCTTTATCAGCATTGTATAACTTCTTTGCCGCTTCTGCGCGTTTTCCTTGAAGTTGATTATAAGATGCCAGAGAATTTGGATCTTCTGGTTTCATTCCTTTGTATGTTTTATCGACCAATTTGCATGCATCATCGAATTGTGACTTAAATGACAAGCGTTCATTCTCCAATCTCTTGACTACGACATATCTTCTATTAATATCTTTAAATTCTTCAAGAGATCTGGAGAGATCTTTGGATGTACGTTCGTATAATCGTAAAAGTTTGTCATAAATTTCTGCAATATGCTCGAAAAACACTTTGAAATCAGGTGCTTCGACAGCAACAATCTTTAATAATGGCGGACCGACTTCAGCAAGTGATTTTGATTGATTATGGAGGAATTTCACTATTGAATCCATTTCATTTGTGAAGGTTTCCAATTCTTGGATTGTTGGCGTAGATTTGAAATATGACAGCATTATAATTTTATAAATTTGAGGCGGTTTTATAAATTGAAAAGTTTACGAAAATTTTATGTTACTTATGAGTAAATGACTGTAAAAATCATTATTGTTTATTGCAGTAAATAAAATTATTGCTGCAAAATTCAGAATTTTCCATTGATTGAAAGTTTTTCAAACTTTTCAGCCTAATCAATCAGGGATTCTTTTACCAAGAGATAAAACATTCATTAAAATGATTTTCTCCAGAGAAATATTATTTATTAAAGTTTCAAGATTCATTATCTCCAAAATTATAAGATTTTGCTATTATGCATAGCTATATCTGGTCTCAATTAAATAAATGACTGCTTCAGTTTGAAGTCAATCTCTTAATTCAGTTTGATATGATATAATACGTTAAAACTAATGAGTATTAATTGTCAATTAAAGTCGATAATAATTTACTAATTCAATTGTTTAAGATATCGATGTGTTTTAGTACAAAAGCAATGAAAAAAGATAATTTCGTGAAAATGGTTAAAAATTATTCTGCCTTCTTATCAAGGACAATTACTTCGAGGGATTCTGGAATTGAATTCTGAACAAGCTCAACAAACTTTGGCTTTACTACAAGTGTATAAAGGAACTTTGTTGTTCTAAGCTTGAATTTTGTAAGGTCGTCGTTAACTTTCTTTACCTTGACCCATTTGGCATCAGGGCGAGCTGCGAGAGCAAGGAATTCCTTTGGAGTTGCTACTTGTTTCGGCATTGAAACGAAAAAAGTGAAATCATAATAAATTTACGAAATAGCAATTATAATAATTTGTTGAGTCTATAATAAAACATTTCTCCAAATCTAATTGAATGGTCTTTAAAATTTTGGGCGAAACATGGGCGAAACAACGATAGGTCCCTCAATTCTCTCAAATTTTGAGGGCTTTTGGGGAAAACATTGCGAAAATTGAGAGGTTTGGGCGAAAGATCTAAAATGAAATATATTTAAACAACAACATGATTTCATTGTTTATCTAGATGATGCTATCATGTAGGAACTTACCCAAAAGATTTTGCAAAGTTTTTATGAATTTTTTCCACTTAAAAATATGCTTTTTTGGTTAAAAATTGAATAGTTTATGTTTTGCCCAAACCTCTGAATTTTAGCAATGTTTCGCCCAAAGGCCCTCAAAATTTGAGAGAATTGAGGGCTCTATCGTTGTTTCGCCCATGTTTCGCCCAAAAAAATGACGCCCAATTGAATAATTCTAACAAGTATATTGAAAGAAAAATACACACAGATAGAAAATGAACTAATATAATATAGGTTTGGGAATATTTATTTAAAAAAATTCTTTATTCAAGATTGAAAGAAAGGTATATGTTTAATGGTAAGAGATTTGAATATCAGAACTCGGTGAAATTCATTTGTTGTCTTTCAATTTTTCATATTCATTCAATTCCTTGATTGACATGGATCTCATAAAACAAACAAAGAAAGTTGGTGCTGAAAGAATAACCAATGTTGAATATATTATTTCATACTTCATTTATGGCTTTGACAATTGTTGATGAACTAAGGCAATAGGAAATGAAATATTGTCTTCACTTGAAAATGGTTCTGAGCCACGAGCGAATATCTAGAAAATAGTCATCCATTTTTGAGCACCATCCAAAACAAATATATTTCAGTCAATAGCTCTTTCCCATTTGAGACTACCTTCTTCATTAACTTTGAAGCCAAAGATAAAAAAAAGAAATCTCAATCAGCAATTGCATAGTTTGCATGCCTGTCTTAATAAAAGTATCATGTAGAAACCTGTAAAAAAGAATTTGCCAAATTATTATGTTTTTAATCTTTGCCTATAAAAATTGTATTTTTAGTGAGAAACTGAAAGTTTTTCCCCTGCCGATTATTCATTGATAATAATTCATTTGGGTGCATCCTTAACTGCGCCATGTGAAATGAGAAGAGGGGTATATCCTTTTTTATCTTTTTCATTGATATTTGCGCCATGTGAAAGAAGAACTTCGGCTGTTTCTTTACAATATTGTTTTGCTGCATAATGAAGAACAGTTTTCCCAAGTTTATCTTTTTCATTGATGTTTGTGCCATGTGAAAGAAGAAATTCGGCTGTTTCTTTACTATTATGATCTACTGTAAAATGAAGAGCTGTTTTCCCATCATTGTCTTTTTCATTGATATTTGCACCATGTGAAAGAAGAAATTCGACAGTTTCTTTACTATTATTATATGCTGCAAGATGAAAAGCGGTTTTTCCATCATTATCTTTTTCTCTGATATTTGCGCCATGTGAAAGAAGAAATTCGACAGTTTCTTTACAATTATTCAATGCTGCAAGATGAAAAGCGGTTTTTCCATCATTATTCTTTTCCTTGATATTTGCGCCATGTGAAAGAAGAAATTAGATTGTTTCTTTACTATTTTCACATGCTGCATCATGAAGAGGTGTATTTCCACGCCTATCTTTTTCGTTGATATTTAAACCAAGTGAAATTAAAAGTTCAGCTATTTCTTTGCTATTAGATTTTGCTGCATCATGAAGAGCGGTTCTCTTTTCATCATCTTTTTCGTTGATATTTGCACCATGAGAAATTAAAAGCTCGGCCATTTCTTTGTTATTAGATTTTGCTGCATCATGAAGAGGTGTGCTTCCTTTAATTTTTTTCTTGTTGATATTTATACCGCGCGATATAAGAAATTCAGCTATCTCTTTACAATTATACATTGTTGCAATGTGAAGAGCTGTTCCAAATTCTCCCATTAATATATTAATATTTGTACCAAGTGAAAGGAAATATTCACAAAGAGATAACATTTCAAACAACGCCGAATAAGCATAACATCTGTGAATATCATTAGTTCGATCGAAATAAACTAAAAATGATTCAAGATTTTTATACACTGCACATTGATATAAATTAATCGATATTTTGTATTCATTCATCAAAAATGTGACAAAATCAATGTTGTGTGAAACAATTGCATAACACATGCATTCATCACCTGGTTTCTGATATTTCAAACACTCACTCATGATCTCTGGATTTCCTCCTAAAAATGAAAATATTAAACATGATTCAGTTATTTCTGAGTTAAATTTCGTTCTTAAGAATTTGAAACAATCAACTGCTCCATGGTAACAACATAATTCAAGTAATGAATATCCTGGTCTACGACCAAATGAAAAAAATATTGATCTGGTAATTGGATACAAAGAGCTGTTTCTAAGTATTTGATCTTTATCAAATCCTTCTCTTTCGGCAAATGAGATGAATGTTTCTTTGTCATTATACACAATTGCTTTGTAAATTGTATTTTCTGAATGAATGGATAAATTTTCTGATTGAATTTTTTCAAAATTATGAGATTTGTCTAATTTAATTCCATATTCTTTATAAAACAGGTAGTTAGAGATAATTGGAATTTGTCTGACTTCTTCCACATGATAATCATCAGATATGAGTTTGGCAAGAGATAAATATGACTTTGTATGGCCATTATTATACGGAATGATATTTAAGATATCTCTTATAATAGATTGTGGGCAAAGTTTCTTTGATTCAATCAAATTCGTTTTGATCATTTTGTAAATCTGGCTTAATTCTTCTTCATTTCCAATTTTCAGTTGATACAATGCATTATATGTATCGATGTATTGTTTGTAGTTTTCTCGCAATTCACTGAATTTATTTTGATGAATGCTTTGAACAGACATTAAAAAATTTAAAACTTATATTTACATTCCACGTGACAAAACATCTTTGAAATCCATTAAGAAAAATAATTATAGTGTTAAGTATGTAGAAAACACTAATCACAAAGATTTCGGATATATTTTATGCGGTTTGATTAAGTACATAGATTTAAAATAACATAATAACAAGACTTTCATCCAGATGTTTAATTATAAAAGTGATATTTATCATATCCAAAGTCATTTTTCCGATATCAGATTTTCTCAGATCCTTGTTTTGGAACTTTTATCGCTTTGGGAGGGCGCTTCGCGCCCTTCCAAAGCGAAAGAATCCAAAATAACCCGATTTTAAATTTTGAGATCGAAATCTCTAATTTTTCCCATATAATAACATACTTTTTAATATAAAAATAGACAGTACCAACTTTGCGGATCGAAGATCCGCAAAGTTGGTACCTATAGCGTTATAGACTAACCCATGAATGGACAATTTTTATTTGAAACTATAGACACTCAAGCTCCTCAGAAGCAGATTTTCAAAGTCAAATGCATCAGCCTATGAATTCTGCTGTACTCACACAGCTGATATTGAAAATCCTCATGAATAAATTCGATATTTGATGTTAATAGAAGTTCACAGCAATATATAAGGTATTTTGTATTTGATTTCACATATGCTTCACATTACATAAATCAAGATGTAAAGAAATATTATGGAGAATTCATCAAAATGCAATCATATACTTGAGATTTGGTAGATCATATGCTGCATTGATGGATTTAATCGGGGATAAATGCGGCAATGATACATTGTCAGGTTCGGAATCGAAAACGAAGTGAAATCGCAAAAATGAGAAGCGATTCTTAAATTCACATTCACAATGTTCATATTCTTGATCCGCAAATGATAAAAAATCTGACGGACAAATCTCAAATAAATAGGCTGTCAAAAGTTAGAAGAAATTGAAAGAATTGAAAAGAATTATTCAAACAACAAAGCCGGCTCTGCTACCCTAAATTGAACTCAACTTTATTTGCTAATAGATGCAATATTGAATATAATATTCTCTATAATTTTCCGAATTTTCAAGCTTATGATCGGAATTCTTTCTTATCCCAGCAATTAGATAGAAGTTGATGGCCATTTACTAGAGTAATGCTTCAACTTGCTAAAACAAGAATGAGTGGTATACTGTAGTTATTAAAGAACTGATCAGAATAGGAATTATTCGATAAGTTGTCGATTCAATTAAATTTCTCGTAAATTTATGATTGATATAGAATGCTTGGCTAATGGGTATTTAAAATTCCAAACCCGAAATCCGATAAAAATTACATTTTTATAAAAGTCAGTTTTGTGACATTTTATTCAATTTTTAATTTTCAATAATTTTTTTTTATACCAAATGAGTGGAATGAATTCTTTTACTAGTTTATCACGAGATTCGAGTTCGACTGATGACTTCAGTCTTAATCCTCTGAAAGTTGTTATTTCTGGCGCAACAGCAAAAACATCTGAATCGAAGTCTTCAGAAAACAGCTCATCTGATAATTTAAATTCTTCAAAACGTAGTATAAAGCAATGTTATTCGAGTCAAATCATTATTACTGCTGATGTTCCTAACGATTTATTAAATAATTTAAGGATGACTACAAATTCAACTTCAAGACGCGGAGTTCATAGTGCATCACCTACACCAGAGATGATAAGCAAATCAACGCTTCAAAACGGTTCAGATAAGAATGAATCAAATTTCCAAATCCCAGATCATTCATATCCTAAATCTGTTGGCTTGGTCAACATTGGTAATCACGGCCTTGGAAATTCTGTTGTACCCATCATACCTCCTCCAATCGGTCCGACTGCGCCTCCAAATATGTTAGAGATACCATCAATGTCCCCAAAAGGAGATCAATCTACAGCAAATTCTTCATTTTCACAACAGATGAATGCCAGTAAATCATCCAATTTTAACGACTCCGATGAAAGCAACTCACAAGCATTTGCTGTTGTTATGGCGAACCCCGACTTGTTGTATCCTCGTAAAAACTCTTTGCCTTCAATCCAAACTAAAAATATGAATTCAGATTTAACGAGAATGAACTCCGTTCCGGTTATTCCGACTGTTGGTCCACAACAGAACCCTCCAAGACCGCCGTCCAATCCTAACAAACTTCACATTCCGAAAATTCCAGGAAGAACTCGAGAACTCTCATTTAAAGACTCAATCGATAACAGACTTTCATTACCTACAGCTCCTCCGCAAATTCCAATACCTGACGATTCAAATTGTTCAATTCCAAAAATTCCGACTTTGCCAAAGATCGATGACGCTAATTCTATTACAAACCTTTACTCTCTCCCTGTTGTCTGCAACTTTAACGACAATAAAAATGGAGCTTCTTTCAATTTCAGCCAAAAACAAACTCCGACAACTTTCGATTACGATTTAGGTTCATCTCCACCAAAAATTCCGACTATACCATCGCTTACTATTATACCTCCGAAAGGATCTGGTTCAAAAGTCCCACAAATTCCATCATTACCAATATTACCTCCAAGAGCTAGTGAACCTGGCATTGCATCACTACCCATTGGTCCTTCTGTCCCATCGTTACCAAATATCCCTACTTTGACCCCAATTGACGATAAATCCGTGTCAGGAATCCCACAACTTCCAACAATTGGCAGTCAAGGAATTAATTCGGAGATGCTATTCAGAAGTGCTGTATACAGTTCGAATTCAACTCGTGATTACGATCTTACTGCAGAAAAACTTCAAATTATTCCTCCTTCTGATGCAGTAATTCTTCCTTCACCGGATCCAGTTGTTGATTATCCATTATTCCCCAGCACTCCACCGCCAGGAAGCGAGCCAGAACCAACAAATATTTTATTATCTTCATCATTCGACCAATTTGTTGGATCTTCATGCAAGATGCATCGCCGTACATGGAATGTCTTTGCTGATCGCAGCCGTCCAATTTCCAGGAACGCTCAGCAACTTCAAGTTCCATCTCTCGCAAATGTTCAACAGCAAACATACATGTCATACAATCCATCAACGCAATACCAAGCCCAACAATACCAGCAACAAGCACAACCCCAACAACAGCAAAGTTACGAAAATGTTCCACAATTATTACTAAATTCCATCGGAAATCCAGCACAATTCTCACAAGTTGCTAATGCAAACATCGATTACGTCAGACAAGTCTCTACAGAGCTCATCAGTCAGCTCGCAAAAGCAAGAGACCACGCATCCTTCCAAATTCTCATGCAAATGAACGTTGACCCCAGCAGAAGAGATGCGGCTGGAGTAACACCTCTGCACTACACTTGTTTTTACGGAATGAGTGAAATGGTCGCTGAATTATTAGATAAAGGTGCGAAACCTGACGAAAAAGACAGCAACGGTGCAAGACCAATTGATTACGCTATTTCTAATAATTTTGTGGATATAGGATTCGTTTTTGCTGAAAGAGGAATCATGTTGAATATTGCTCAGGCTCCCGGTTACTATAAGATGGTTTTTGACAAAGCACAGATGAGTGGAAATATGTTAGTTATGGACCATCTCGTTCAATGTGGTTATCGGCCACAATAATTTTTAATTTTTTCTTATTATTTATTATATCTATGGTAAAACTATTAAAGAAACGGTTATTTCTTTATGTAAAATGTATTTCAACTGATTTTTTGTTTAGAATCAAAATTCAAAATTATTTTTATTAAAAAATAGTTTCTGAACCTAATGTCTCCAATTTCTCTTTAGTCTTGATGGTTTGCTAAAAGAGTATGAACTCTTTTCTTGCATCTCCATGAATCCTCTATAACTATTACACAAATAGATAGTGTATCTCGAGTTTAGAAATAGTGTATATGAAATAATTTTAAACAATGATTTCCACCATTTTGATTTACCTATTATAGGAATCCAAGATAAATAGATGAAATTATTTTTGAAATATGCTAATGAAAATTCCTGAAAGGTGTTTTGATTCTATTGTATTTTATTCTATAATGTTGATTTTCCGCTGAATGCTATTAAAAGAAATGGATTATATCAATAAAGATTTAATATACAAACAAAAATATATAAATATTGGGAAGGAATGTTACTTGTTTTGAACAGCTCGTATTCTTTCAAGGATATCGCATAAGAATTCATCACTTTCTGTGATTTGTTTAGGTTTTGGTTCTTGTCTTTGTTGTATCACCTGTTTTTGCTTTTTCTTTGAACTCTTCTTCATAATGCATATCGATCTCAAATGATCAATACTTGTTTTAATGGTTTGGAGTTCACTTGACAAAACTCTTTGTAGAGATTCAGCAGAATCTTGAAATGGCTGATATTGCTGTTTTGCAATTGAAGCATTAATCTTATCAACAGTATTTTGAATCTCACTCATATTATTTTGAGAAGCAAAATTATTATTTTCTAAATACAACTGTCTATAGTTGTTTTGTGCGTTTGTCATTCTAAGTTTCTTCTTCTGGAATAATTCCTCTTCAACATCAAGCTGATGTATTAAAGATTCAACTTCAATTGATCTTAAATTTGGAGATGGTATGGATGCAGAAGCAATATGGTCAAAATATATCTTATAAGACATCATTTTTTCTGATCTTTCAATCTTGAACTCTCCTAATGGCATCTTTAAGTTACTATCAATATTATAATTTGATTTAGTAATAAGTTGATCAAGTTCGTTAACTTTTTCTGGAGATAAAGAAGAAACTGGTGTATTAGACTCTGCAACTTGTAGTATTTTTCGAACTAAAGCTAAATGAGCGTCAATTGATGCATTTATTGAAGTTGCGTTTGATAAAGATGGTCTATGATATTGTTGTAGTTCTTCATTAACAACTTCATTTATTTCGTTCGGCATTCCAAGAACAAAAGCATTAATTGCCGAATCTTCTTCTGCGGTTTGCGACATTTGGTATTTAAACTCTGCAATAAATTCATTCTTAAGAAATTCAATTGATTTTTCTGCATATTTAAGAATGTTCGCTTCTAATTCAATTAACGATTTCGGAGGTTGTTGTTTTTGAACAACTTCTTGAGGTTTAGATGCTGTTGATGTTGGAGGTGGTGAAAGTTGATCCGAATCCAATGAAAAGGCATCAATTTTAACTTTATTTTCATTTGATGCTATTTTTGGTGGCCGTTTTTTCTGCATTTCTTTTTTCCGTTGAGAAGGGAGTGCAAATGGTAATTTGTTTGAATCAGTTGTATCTTGTAATAAGGCGTTCAATAGTTGATCATCATCATCATCACTCATTTTTAAACGTTCGCTCCCTCACATTTTTCATAAAGTCGTAACTTTGATAAATAGCAATGTACTAATGTAAGCCAAGTAAATTTTATCAAAATATATTCATTACCACTAATTTTCGAAAATTTTAATTGAAATCTTTGCATATTTCATTAAAAAATAGCAATGTTAAGCATTTCCTGCATATATAAGATGCAATTTTTTTGCAACCTTAATCAAATATCATCGTGAATCTTATTCAAATATATGTTTGATGTATTATTTTTATTTATTTAGTATGAAACAGTTGAGAAAGTTTGTAGAGGAAAAAATACTTCTTTAGTCATTGTTTGCTGTAAGTGAAAAAGGAAGTTCGACTGCTTCTTTATGATTATTTGCTGCTGAAGTTTGAAGAGCGGTCTTTCCATAATTATCTTTTTCATTGATACTTGAGCGAAATGAAATAATCGGATATGGATTGAACAACAAATATTGCTGAATTGAACAAGCACTTGCTAATATCATTAGTATAAACTAAAAATGATTTGAGATCATTATAAAATCCACAAAGATATAAAAATAATTAAAAATTATATATAAGAAGAGAATAAATGTTTTTTAAAGGTCTAAGAACAAAGAACTCTGGAATGGTAACTGTGTAGCCCTGTCGTCAGCTTTCTCTCCTCCGTCTTCTGCCGGACCAATTGAAGGAGGAGGTCCCATTGGATCGACGCTCATGAACATATCTCCAGTGATTTGTGGTTGTTGTTGAGGCTGTCCAACAGCTCCATGAACAGCGATCATTGCCTTCTTTGGTTCGCTGTTTATCTCTCCAAATACAGCATTTGGATCGAACGAATCCGAGAGTCTGTTTCTTGTTGTTCCAGACCTTCTCCTTGTCGTTGGAGCACCAGCAACATTCAGCTTGAAACCGATCTGTATTGGCTTCTTTGGACCAGTTGGTTTCGGTGCTGCTTCTGTGTTGATTTTGATGTCCATGAGTGGTCCATTCGATTTCGGTTCGTCGTCTTGGAAATAAGCTGACAAAGACAGTTTCGTGATATCTTTTTCTGGATCTTCTTTCGGTTTCTCTTTGATTTCGACGTTTTCGTCTTCGACTTCTTGTTCTTTCTCTTCTTCCTGGGCGACAGAAGCTGAAAGAGTGGCATTCGCAGTTTCTGCTTCGCTGCCAGTGAGAACGTGAACTCTCCTGCCGAAATTGACCAGTTCGTCGAATGATGAAGGGTAAATTTGGACTTCATCCTCCATTGTTCCGATGTAGAGAGTGAAATCTTCTGTGGAATGGACCGGAACCTTGCAAGGAGGTAACGGGAGATTTGGTAATGGGACACGTTCGGAGTTTGGTGATGGTTCTATGCCTAATAATTTGATGCAAGGTAATAATGTTGGATATTTGCCAACAATGGATCGGAGATTGTCCACGGATCTGAGAATGATGTATAATTCCAATAGAGCAGAACCATCATTCATTTTATCGAGACATTGCGCTAATAATTCAAATTGGCCGAACTTTCTTGCGCGTAAAGAAAGGATTTTGAGCTCATCCTCGGTCTTGCAGTACTGTAACAAGTCCTGGAGAAGTCCGAACTTTGCGTAAATGTCGCAAACAAAGCCGTCAATGACTCCTGGAGTGCAATGCTTAAGAGCTGAAACAGCAATTAAAGGAGGAGCGGACTTAAGGAGAAGAGGATCGATTGGATTCTTAGGAACAAAGCGCAAAAATCTGGAAAACATTTCCCTGTCAACATTTGATGGGATATCAGCGATACAGTCTAAGCAAACTGGCCTTTCTTCGCGGATTACGGCTAGTTGTGGAACTGTAGTAACGAAAACCATCTTGTTGGGGTAAACTGCGGCAATTGCGCAAGAATTGTTTGGTAATTTCATCAATTTCCTTCTGTCGCAGCGCATTGATATGGCGAACAATGAGTCATCAACTACTGCAAACAATGTCCAGCCAAACCAAACCATTGATGAAATAACAATATCAAATCTACAAAAATCGCCTGGAGAGAGCATTTCGATTGGTCCTGTGCTCTTGCAGATGAATAACTCATCGCTGGTGCATATTGCTGGCCATCTGATGATCTTTGCCTCCTTTGGCAAATTAAATTCGACAAGATGGTCCTTTCTCCAGACAGCAGCTTCACCGGTCTCTGATTTGTACAAACAGACATCGTCGTTTGCACAAAACATAGTATCGTAACCGTGATTTTCTGGGATTTCATGTTCTTCGGCTTGTTTGAGGCTGATTCCGACCTTCTTGAATACTGTAATAGCTTTGGATGATAATATGTACATGAATCCGTTCCTCGCTGCACAGCAATCGATTCCTGCTTCATCTCTTTGTAATGTACCGGTTACGAAGACCATAATCTTTCTTTCTGGGTGCTCCGCATCACCAGTTTTGTATCTAACAGCGACGATTGATGGTGTATGTGATACTTTCTCGACATTTCCTGATTGTAAGGTTGTGTACTTCGTAATGTCATTTCCGGACGAGTTAAAGCAGAATAGTGTTCCTTGGGATGCGAAATACATGTTGCTGTCGATTGCTGTCGTTTCTTTGTGGAAAGGCATTCCTGGTTGTAAATCGTGAGAAAATGCAAGCGGTGGGTGGGAAACTTCGTAGATATATGTATCCTGTTGTCCGACAACTACAACTGTGCATCCGCGTGAAAAGATCGCAGATGCTGTTAAAACGGAACACTGAGTCTTATTATTATCAGTAGAAAAGACGAATCCGTCTGAGGAAACAGCAACGAGCTCGGAAATATCAACAGGAGCTGTATTATGTGGGGTCTGGATGTTTTTAACGATAGCTATGCCATTTTCGTTCATAATGTGGATTTCTCCGTTCAAGAAGCCAATGGCGATATGGCTGCCGACGTATTTGATGAATGCAAAGCCTGAAAGATGGCTTTCCCATTCTTTTGATCCATCTTTGCAGGAAACGCATAGTAATTTGACTGCAACAGATACGAGGAATTTATTTTCTGTAGGATGGCCGACGACTGCAGTGACTGGGCTTTGATAATCGAGCTGAGCAATCTGACCTTCGGAAAATGGCATGAAATAGACGATATTTGGGTTTGATTTCAATGTGAAGAAAACATTTGTGCCGACAGGAACAAGATTAAATCCGTCTTTCTGGTGTAAAACAATCTCACGGAATTTTTCGCCTGTATACGGGTCAATAACAGTGAGAGACTCGATTTGTGTGACCTTATTCTTAAATGTAAGAGCGATTTTTGTTGTTAGCTCTTGATTAAAGTAACATCCCGTTGGTGCTGACTGAAGGAAATTTTTATACTTGACAAAACCTGTGTGAACATCAATAATTGTCAATACATTTGAGTTAATCTGAAGTAATTCATCCGAAGTGAGAAGATTTGTAAACGGTTGTGAAGGAATGATGTTAATTTGCTTCAGATTCATTTTTTTATTCATGCAAACAGAGCTGTTCAATTATAAATTTTATATCTACTGATGTCAAGGAATCTGAGAATTTATTGATGTAAATATGTTTAAAATGATGAAATGGATCCGTTCACCAATTATTAGGCTCGATTTCATCGTAATTTTATGATTTTTCCTCCCTTTCAATGGAATTGAAAGAACTTTGGAGGAATACATATATATAACACTACATTGAAATTGGTCTACTAAAAAGATCTATTATTGTATACAAATATCAACAAGGAGAAAGAATTCAATTATCAAATATATAAAGTTTTATTTTTTGATTCTATGAACAAAATGAAAATAAAGCATAACAAAATCAATTTAAAGGAGCATTTGAACGAATGATGACATGTCCATCTTGATCGTGGATCTTTGAAAAGCTTTCTCTGATTGCCTCCTTTACGTTTGTTGGTATGTTAGACTGTTGGACGCGTGCCCATTGTCTTTGGAGGCGATCAACACAACGTTGATTCGTTAAACGATCTTTATTTCCTCTGATTACATCTTCGATCTGCTGATCGAAGTATTCATCACCAGAATAACCATCATTGCCATACATGTTGCCTGCACGACTCTTGTTGCGCAAGTTTTCCTTATCATTGAGTTGTCTGATTATATTCTTCTTGTTCTCTTCTGACATTGGTCTTCCAGGCTGTGTGCTGAGAATGGCGTTAATGACACGGAAAGACATAATATGACTTGCATTTGTTCCATCTTCTTTTGATCCATACTTTGTGCGACCAAGATCTGAACGTTCAATCTCCTTTGGTGACTTATGACCTACCGAGGAATTCATTTCGGATTTGACTTCAACTGGTTTCGTTTCGCTTTTAACGTTTGTCGATGATTCTGATTTCAAATTTGATGAAGAATACATATTTCCTCTGTTATCACAATATCCGCTTGCACATGCAGCCTTAGATGAGGAATATCTCATATCAAGACCGCCATCTTGACGATAATGATATCCGCTTGATGATGAACTCGAGATTGATGGTGAGCATGAATATGAATAAGAAGAATTAGAAAAATCTCTACTGTTGCAAAGTCCCATAGAGCAAGCAGCTTTTGATGAAGAGTATCTCATATCAAAGCCTCCGTCTGCACGATAATGGTATTCGCTCATTATCAAAAATGATTAATTCAAAATTTTGTCTAAAAGACTGTTGAGTTATCACATCACAAATGATTTAATAATAAACATGTTTTTATATTGTATTTAATATAACATATAGGCATTTACTAATTTCTACTATTCTCATAAAGTTTATCTATTGGAGTCAAAATTTTTTACATCATTTTGCTCTCAAATTTGAAAATTTACTATATTTCAATAACGAATCAATAGTCCGATAAGGTTAGTCCGAATCATATAAAAATTATTTGATGATATTTGCGCCAAGTGAGATAAGTAGTTCAGCTGTTTCTTTACTATTATGTTTTGCTGCATAAAAAAGAAGTGTTTCTCCATAATATTTTTCATTGATATTTGCACCATGTGATAGGAAATAATCGCAGAGAGATGAAATATTAAACATCCCCGAATGAACAAAGCATTTGTTAATATCATTAGTTTTATCGAAATAAACTAAAAATGATTCAAGTTCTTATATTTTCCGCAATCATTTAAGATGATTTTTAATATTGAATTCATTCATCAAGAATATAACAAAATCAATGTTGTGAGAAATAATTGCATATTCCATGTATTCTTCATCTGGTTTTTGACTTATCTGATGACTTTATATAATAATTATTATACGGAATGAAGTTTAAAATATCTATGATAATATCATGAGGATGGTATATCATTGAGTCAATCAATTCTGTTTTGATAATTTTGTAAATTGAGTTTAATTCTTCTTCTTTTTCGGTTTTAAGCTGATATAATGCATTGTATGAATCTTCTATATAGTATTTGCATATACTTCACACTTCGATGAATTTATTTGGATTAAAAATTTTAAGAAGGACATATTTGCGTTTTACAATATAAAATATTCATTAAATTCATTAAAAAACACTATGTTATGCGTGTGGAGAACGATCTCCACAAAAGATTCCATATTATTTTTGAAATTTGATTAAGGGTGCACTTACGCCCCTATGACACGGCCTTCAATTCAAATGTTTAAGGTTAATTTTCAATGACGCTTCACGCCAGTTGTCAAAAATTTGAATTAATGTCAATTGGGCGTAAGTGCAGCCTTAAGGCTATATAGATAAAATAACATACTAACAATGGAAATGTCGAAAACAACACAATTTTCATACAGAAACTTATATGAAAATATATAAGATTAAGGAAATTGATTCAAGGAGTAATAATGAAAATATAGATTATATTAGTTGATCCTGTGTCATGTGTGTGCGATAATGAGTGACTTATGAGTAAGAATTTATTGTTAATTTAACAAAATAATAAGCTGAGCTGGATCTGAGTTAAAATGAATTTTAAACGATTTAGTAATTATATTACTAAAAGTTATGATTAACTGCGTTAGGTTAATGTTTAATATCAAAAACATTTTCTTTTATTTTAAAATTGTCATTGATTTTATTGAACATTGGCAGCTTTTTCGATGAAGCGTAATGAAAATTTTTACCGTTGGCTATTATTGATGAATAAAGAATTTCCAAGAGATATGTACACTCACAACATGAAAAAGATGTTACATTACAATTTTATGAAGAGTATCAAATACTAAATATAATATCAATTCAAATTTATAAATAAAAATCTATAAAATTCAATAAATCGCAACTTCGATATTAAATATATGTTTTAAACTGATTTTTAAGATCAATGGAATAAGTTATGTAGATCAATCATAGATTGTTATGAAAAAATTTAGGATGAAAGTATTGTATATTATAACATGTACTACTTCGTTAAGTCATATTTCATTAATTATATCATAAAAAAGTGGGGAAAATTGAGATCTAATACCTTCTCAATTTTTAAGAGAATGCTTTCAAAATTTTAAAATCTCAATTGTCAAGTGCCCACGTAATTGTTGATCAGCATTGATCAAAATTAAATAATTTTCTGTTTTTACAATGAATTCAATCATCGAAAAAATTGAATAATGTAAAATTTTCTATGTTAAAATTGGCAAATGGTAATCATATTAAAATTGGCAAATGGTAATTATATTATAAATTTGTCATTGAGATTTCAGAAGATTTCGATATTTGAAGTTTTTATAGAAAAAGAGATCACTTCATTTCTAGATAATGAGCTTGAAGAACGCCAAGGTCCTCATCATCAACGCTGGTTTCCATTGCCCACCGATGGCTAATGGCAGATTGAACGAAACCCTTGCTTTGGAGGCAGAAAAGTATTTCCAGCAAAAGGGACACGAAACAAAGATCACACATATGGAGAAAGGCTATAAGATCGATGAAGAAGTTGTAAAGCTTGATTGGGCTGATGTTATCTTTTTCCAGACACCAACTTGGTGGCTTGGTCTTCCAAATCCAGCGAAGAAGTACATCGATGAAGTTCTCAATGCTTACATGGGCATTCAAAACAAAAAGGCTGGCAAGAAGTTTATGATTTCTGCTACATTCGGTGCTTTAGAAGAGACACTCTACGATAAGAATTCCTGCTACGAAGGAAAGGGACCAGAAGCCATTTGGTTCCCATTATATGTCGGTTTCAAGTACATTGGCATCGATAAGCTTCCAATGGTTTCATTCTACAACGCATTTGCTCAAGATTTCTCAATTGATAATCAAGTTAAGAGATTACATGCTCACCTTGACAAGGTTTTTGTCTAAATCATACTACTATAGAGTAAATAAATTGCTTTTAAGTTAAAATTAATTTTTTATTTTCAATAAAAATGAAATTTATTAGAATAAAAACAAATCCTGCGACATTTTAAAAATAATCTAGTAACATAGCAATCATTTTCAAAGAAATAATTTTCAAATTTTTTGATAAAGACATAATACAATGTTTTTATTAGGATGTGATAGATATGGAATGAAAGTATTTCGTTTGGTCAAGAAAAATAGTGATTTTTTATAAAAAAATTTCATGAATTATTTATTTTCATAGAGAAATCAAAAAAAAATAAATATATAAAAAAATAATAAATAAAAAATAAGTTAATTGACAACGAATTGGTTTTCAGCAGGTGATACTAAGTAAGTCATCTGGTTACCCTTGCCCTTGAGGTAGATTTCACCTCTTTCTTCGATATGGAACTTTCCTTCTCCAGCGACAATTTCGTAAGTTCCCTTTGAAATCTGAACATTTCCAGGGATATCTGTTGATTGCAATCTAGCAGCTACGTTGATTGTATCACCAATGATATCGAACAAAGGCTTATCAGTACCCAAAACACCTGCAATGATAGGACCACCGGAGTTAACACCAATTCTTACCATCAAAGAAGCGTTCAATTGTTCATTGAGTTCTTCAATTGCATCCAAAACTCTCAAACCGAACGTAATTGTCTGAATTGCGTGTGATTTCGGAGGTTCATCAGGAGAGAACAAACCAGCGGCAGCCATATAGTCATCACCAATCAGTTTGATCTTAGTGATCAATGGCAAATCAGCCAAGATCTTATCATAAGCTGTGAAGACAGCATTCAAGTTACTCATGCATTGTTGAGCAGACAAAGTTGCCATGTAAGTTGAGAACTGGCAAATATCGATGAAAATGACAGAAGCGGAAGGAACGACCATTGTAATATCTTTTTCACCTTTGTTAATTCTTCTAATGATATCAGGAGGAAGAATCTTAAGAAGCAAATCATCAGATTTCTTCTTAGCAACTTCTACAGCTTCCTTTTGTCTCATTTCTTCTGTCTGATCCTTGCACATGACAGCGAAGAAATCAGCGTTTCTGTGGTTACTTGAGAAGCCAAGCAATGTTGCTTTGAGAGGAACTTTGACGCCATCATCTCTTACGCCTTCCAATTGTGACTCGAAAACTAAACCGCACTGACCACTCTGCATCAACTGAAGTGTGTAGTAGAACTGTTGGTTCTTTGGTGATTGTGGTAAAACCATTTGACAGTTCTGACCTAACAACTGTTCAGGAGTGAAGTGGAAGATTGTTGTTGCTGCTGGGTTGAGTTTTTCTATGATGCAATCTGTGTTGATTAAAAGCATTGCATCAGGAGATGTATGGAATACAGCGTGAGCAGCTGAAGAGATCTGGTTCTGGCTCTGGTCCTTGTTGATCAAGAAAGCTGTTGCATTCTGGTTCTGAACGAAATGGATTGGATTCAATCTAAGAATGATTGAATTGTATGCGTTGTAAATTTCTCTGATATGAGAAACAGTTGCAACTTCAACAAAGAAAGCAATGATAGAGAACAACAAACAAACAACAAATACAATATAAACAATAGTCTTATATTGACTGATCAAGCTATCAAATGTATCAAAGTATGTATTGATAAACTTGTCGAATTCAGGTAATAATCTTCCATTTAATATATTACCAAATGTATACATTGCTTCTGTATCAAATTGATAAGGAGCATCTGAAGCCTTTTCCTGGTTAGAGTAATAAATCTCATCATGAATTGCGAAATAGTAGTTGAGCAATCTATCAAAGCTCAAGCACTTGTAGTAGTTGAGAACATACTGTGATCCTGGCTCAAATGTGCACTGTGGATCGAATCTCGCTGAATCAATTGTACTCGAGAAATCAAGGGCAGAAACATAATCTTTAGATCCTAAATCCAAAAGTTCTCTGATAAGAGTAATTCTGTTATGTACCCTCGTTAAAACTCCTTTCTGTGTAGCAGTTGCATTCGTTGAATCAAAGAATCCTTGTGTAAATGGAGCATAAGCTCCTAATCCTGGAGCCAATTTACCCTTTTGTTTCATCAATGACAATGAATAAAATTCTTGTGAACAAGCTAAAGAAACCACTGAGTTTCTCATCACCATGTAGAGATTGATTTGGTTGATGTAGTTCTTTGCTTTGCTGTTCAATACTTGGGCTTCTATTGACACGAAAATGACCAAAGCAATGAAAATAATTGCATTGCAAATGTTAATAACATAAGGAGGAACAGATAATGTAGATGAAGAAGTAACAGCAGCGTTTACACCTTTCTTCTTTGATGATTGATTTCCTACGACACTTCTTTGTATTCTTTGAGATGCTTCTTCGCATGCTTCCGTTGGCATTGTCAACATCATGTTTGTCATTGCTTTGAGTTCTGAACTTAAAGCTGCTGACAAATAAACAATTGTTGGCATAGTGAAAAGTAATACAATGAAAGGAGTAAAAGCAATAAAGAAATTAGTTGTTGTTGATACAGAATCTGACTCTTCTTCTTCCTCTTCACCTGCTTCAGCTTCTTCGTTATAATCATCATAGTTTTCATCATCTGTTGCATTTGGTAATGGATCTTCATTCAAGTATTCAACCTTGAAATTATTGTAATAAGTATACAAATAAGGATTTGCTGTTGAATTGGCAATATACTTAGAAATAGTATTATAACGACTTGATATATTCTTCGCCAAAGTGTCAAAACCATCTTGAACGAAAACATAATAGTTAAACATTTCACAGAATTCTCTTGAATCCAAAATAGCCTTTGCTGCATCTGGAGCACTTAATCCTTGTGTCAAAGCAGAAATTGAACCAGATCTAATCATGAAAATTCTCATGACAGAATCCATTGTATAACTAGTATTGGTTGTATAGCTAGCAAGCCATCCTTCTAATGTAGGAGTGAATTTTGTCCATGTACATGTTGCTTCATAAAATGTATCCACTGTCAATAATTCAGCAATTTCTTGTTCTTTTTGTGTTGGAATATCTGAGAGATATAATCCTTTGGAGAATTCATCTAAATAATTGTTTGCAACATATGTTAAATTAGATATTGTATAATTGAAGTTGTCAAGACTTGGTTTTGTGTAATAATTCAATTTAGACATGTTTGAACCAAGAAATTCTTCAATTCTTGTTTTGTTCAAGTCTTTATATGAACTTGCCAAATACCAATATATTTGTTCGCCAATCATTGATGAAACACTCTCGAAATTGTTCAAGTTCTTCAAGTGCTTTGTAAGTGCAATGTCTTCATCAAATAATGGTAAAACATATACAAGGAAAATGATGATGTAAACTATTGAAAATATTAACCTTAAACCTGATGTGACCATTGTTTTTGTCACAGCTGAAGATTTGATAGATCTGACAGCCTGTTCGAAAGCCAATCTCAACTGAACTCTTGGCAATGCTTTCTCACCTTCCTGCAAATCGATAACAGTTGAGTCACTGTCGTCATTTGAAGAATTCTGTGTAGAAGCATTTGATTTAGATGTCGAAGTAACAGAAGCAGAAGCTGTTGATTCTTCGCCATTCTGTTCTTTGACGAATCTAGAAATGACTCTATCCATCTTGATGTCGCCGTGGATACCAACAAGACCTTTCTTAAGATAGAATTGATAGCATCTGACAAATGTCTTGAAAAGTTGGTCACTTTCGCGCATTTTGCCACTTTCTATCATCAATGCTTTATGGTACCAATGCAATCCTTCTTTGAATTGGCAGACACCTTCAATAAGGAAGCGAGAATACTCTGTTGCAAATCTCGCGTTGTTTGGATATTTGTCAATAACTTCGGACCACGATGCATCGGCCTTCTGACGAATCTGCATGGCCCTCTTGTAGAAGTCATGCTTGATTTCGTTATGTGGTCGGGCCGCGTTGATCCAGAAACGTGTGTTTTCTGTAATCAAAGCATCTGTTATGGTTCTGACACGGGCAAGGTCGGCGTTGGCTTCACGGGAAGCGGAGGACTGACGGAATACGTGAACTCTGTGCAACTGGAACCTCATTATGCGCTGGAGATGTGTTGGATTGACCATCTTATTAATGCGAGTAATGAGATTGTGCATAACGAGTTGCTCATTGGGGAAGAATGATGCAAACCAGGTCATTACTATAAGAAGCTCGTTGTCTTCGGGGAATTTCTCAAGAAGCCATTTAATTAATGAGAAATCAAGGAAGAGAGGGGAGCCTTCTTCAAGGCCAATGATAAGATATGAAAAAGCTTTGTTGAATGTCCTGATTTTGAGAGTTTCGAAATATTCGAATTTTTCTTGTTCCGTAATTTTTTCTGGATTTTCGAAGTTCTGGTATGAAAGATTCTTAACGATTCTTTTCTTTCTCCAAATATTGAGAGGAAGGAACACGCAAATTAAGCAGAAGTATATCGCTGCGGGAACTCCGTAAATTACCCAGTTTGAAAGGTTAAACCAGATACGGAATGTTGAGATTATGCTACCAGCAGCAGTTGCTACGCCGAATGCCATGAACATTGCTGTGAATAATAAATCTTTAAGTTGTAAAGACCAGCCACATGTAAATGTAAGGAAGCAGCCACCAAGAAGAAGAACGTGTGGGAGAATTCTATGCCATTGCTTGAATCTCTTGAGATACTGACCTGTTCCTAAGCCAAGGCCGTAGACATAGAGAACGCGCATCATACGCCTGGGGTTCCAAAGGAATATGTTACTCTGAGAGATGAATGGAGACATCATGATTGGAATTGTAAGGAATTCTACCATCGTGAAGTAAATGATGTTTGAAACGAGAGCAAGGGCAAAGTAGAAGATATGCATTGAAGTTGTTTCATAAGCTAAGTCTGATAATGTTGCAAGCAAATAACATGGATGAATAGCAGTGAAATAAAGGATAAATTCACCGTAAACGTATTTCAAGAGTATCATACTTGCCTTGTTGAATTCAAATGAAACTCTGTAAATGCCATAAATACCTAAAAAGATTAATCCTAAAACTATATCGAGAATACCAATAACTACGTATGGAATAACGTAGGTATCAGGGTCGCCTGAAATGCCGCAGAATGCAATTTTGTTGCAAATTTCGATGCCTCTAAGACCTCCTGCATGAAGAAAATCGAAGAAACAGCCGAAAAACATTTGGAAGATGACAAGTCCTGATACTAAAAAGTTGACGAAGAGACTGTCGAGGTAAGTTCTGTTTGTTTCGGCAATGTATGGATATAAAAAGTTATCATAAAATTTAAAATTTGAAGCTGAGACCTGACCGTTTGCAGCAAGTTCAGCAGCCCAAATAGAGCTTCTCATCGATGACCGAGAAAGGCCACTGAGCTGAGAGCCTTGATTCTGCGAACGTTCAGACATTTTTAAATTTTTTTTTTAAATGGAAGAACGTTTTTTATTTAAAATCACTGAAATATTGATTGTAACATAATCCCAATAAAATTCTTCTCAAAACCTTCGCTCTCTCAAAAGATGCTAAAAATTGAATTGAAATTTAATTTACAAGATTTTAGCGGTAAAAATCTTTTTATATGCGGAATTCAGTCATTTATGACATTTTTTGAGTGATTCTACTACAACATGAAATATAAACTTATACTAATTATCCGATTGGGTTAATAATTGTTTTGATTAACTGTGTGAAACAATAAAATGTCTAAAATAAGGATATCCAGCATGGACTCAGCTTAAAGCTGGTGAATTTGTGTGTTGAGGAATTAATGAATCTGAAGAAAACAATAGAAAAGGAAGATAATTATAATAATAAAAAATCAAAGAAAAGAAAATAAAGTGCTTTGAGGTATGATACTGCATGTAATGATGCATTAGATATAAGTGTTTTCTTATGAGCTCCAAATTTCAAGTGATAATGGATTCTATTTACTAACCTAAAACTACAGACGTATTTGTAAGAAGATAAAATATAAAAATGGGGATAAATTAAATGCCTAAACTTTTTGGTGCTTATAATACGATTGCTAAAACCAAATGTTATAGATGAAGGAAGAAATTGATGAAAATATTTGGTATTTCTCCTTCTGAAGTTAATTCAAATTCTTTGTAGTTAAGAATCTTCTTATAATTACCGTACATGGGAGAGAAGAATTAAATGACGTGAAAAATAATTTAATTCTCTATAAGGGAAAAGATTATCTGCTTAGAATTATGCTTGAAGCCAAAATGTTGACGAGAATTGATGAAATATTTTAAAATTTCCATCACTTTGTAAACTATTCAAAAATTCAGAAATTTTTGCCAAAATTCAAAATTCAAAATGGCATCATTTTTTCAAGATATTGATGATTACAAGCAGTTCAACATCATTAAATCATTCAATATCAAAAATCCCTTTCCTTTTTTTCTTTTTCTCCATCATGATAAGATAAATTGCGACAAATTAGATGAATTTATCATACACGAAACGATAAACAAGTTCATTTTGAAGATCCCTTCTCTTCAGTTTTTGTTAACAACTAGCGTAGTTGGAATTAAATTCGAAAATTGCTTAAAAGAATGGAAAGAAATATTCGATTTAGAAGATAATTTTAAAAAGCCGACGTATATTACTCCAATGCATGATTTTGGTATTCTTACGATCAATGAATTGTATTCTTTGCATTGTCTTGCATATTCAAATGATATTCAAATTTGTTTTGTCTTTTCTATCAACGGAGCAATATACTGTCAACCTATTGGTGTTCTAAATACAAATAATAGGATCCTAATCTCTTGTTTTCACAAAAAAATTGAAAAATTAGTTGATATCAATGAAATAAACTATGCATTAATGAAATCAATACCAGAACCACAAAATAGAATTGAATTACCTGTTTTTTCTACAATTGTTCCAAAATATCGTGCGAATGAATATGTCAAATACATTTTTCTTCGATGGAGACTAAGTACCTCAAAAGATTCAGAAGTTTTTATTCAAGATCGAGGTTTTTTCAAGCATTTGACGAAGTATATTGAAAATGATAAAAATAGAAATGAAATTTTAAATAAAGTTCCATTGTATTTGAAGGGAACTTCACTAGAAACAGGAAATGAAGTGTATGTAACAAATGATGAACCTTTTATTGAAGAAAAAGATGAATCAAAATATAATCAGACAAAACGACTTTTAAACGAACTGCAACTTGCTGAAAATGCAGAATTAGTTAATGATAAACTAGTTGAATGTAAGAAAACTTGTATATTTGAAATTGAAAATGAAATTACAAATGAAACAGATTTATATTCAAAAAATGTTATATTAGAAATTGATAGAAGCAGAAAATCACAAATACAAAGCGCTAGCTTCATTACACTAAATGATTTACTCTATACTTCATTAGATGAAAAAGAATATTCTTTATTTAAAACAAAAGAAGGTAAAACTATTGCTGTTTATATAGAAAAAGAAGAAATTGAAGATGAGAACGAACTTTATAATGGAGTTGAAGATAAAAATGAGAACGAATATGATGAAAATGATAATAAAGACAATGAATATAGTTATGATAATTATGAAAATGAATATGATGATAATGAAAATGAATATGATAATGATGATTATGAAGAAGATGAAAATGAATATGATAATGATTATGATGAAGAAGATGAGGTTTCGTATAAAGATGCTAAAAAAGAGAAAGATGTTGAAGTTGTTTTGAAAGCGTTGGAAGTCTCTGATGTGCAGATTAATTTCAAATGTTTGGCGAAGTTTTGTTACAAACATGTTTTTTATTCATCAACAATATCAAAAGAAATTAGTTCTTTTTCAAATGTTTTTATTTCAGCAAAGAAGTATTTTGGGTTTGCTTATGAAGCATTGATGTCTAATAAGACTGATAACAAAGCAATTTTGATTGGTTCTGATTCTAATAGCTATGAAAAGATGATTGAACAAGTTGATAAATCATTCAAAACATCATTTTCTAATATTCAAAATTTAGGAATATTTTCTCAAATAATTAATGGAAAGAATGTAATTTGTGTATGTGAACCTGTTAATAATGTCATTCATCTAATAAATGCTGTTGACATGATCAAAGATAAATCAAATAAATTCTGTTTCATCTTCACTTCCAAAGTTGAAGAAAAATTATCGGAATTTATCTTGTTTAATCCAAGTGAAGAAACTTTAATAGATGACAAATACTCAGTAGAATTTGATATGGTTGCGAAAGTATTAGCTTACTACGCAACTTTTGTTCGCTTTTCTTTTCTTAATTTTGAAATTTGTTGTTATTTAAGAAATTTGTTAGATACATAGATTGTTGTTTATAAATGTATTGTATGTAGATATTGTACGTTAATCATAGACATGAATATTTTCAATAATTTATAGAAAAATTAAATATAGTTTTAACAATAGCTAATCTATAGCAATAAGAATATGATTTGATTGATATATAAAAGTTAGAAAAGTCAAATTCATTGATAAATTTTAATATAATGAGTGAGATAATCATAACTCAAAATTATTAATTATGGTGTTTAGTGATTATAAGTTATTATTAAATAAATATTGATAATTTTGAGAAAAGTAAACATAAAAAAGCTTTATTTTCAAACAAACAAAAAAATCAATTTGTAGAAGGTTCTTCAGTTAAAAGTGAAAGGACGGTTTCTGCCATATCTTGCATTTTTGATGGATAACTGTCAATGTTGTCTTCAATTGCTTCAATTATTTCAGAAAAATCAAATTCGATTTCATTTCTTTTCAAAAAGAGAATTAGTACTTGGAGAGTGTTGAAAACAAGTCCATTATGACTGTATATTGCTTCAACAATGAAAGAATTGAGATCGAATTTGATAATCTTCTTCAAATTGTAATCACTGCATCTTTGAATGAAATTAAACAGTAAATTACATCCAAATGATTTTGTTCTGTATAATCCAGCATTCATTTCATTAATCAGGTCTTTGACATAATCTGAAATTAAATTCATTGTTTCTTGAGTTGGGAAATAGGATATGTAGCTGGAAAGTACCAAATTCATAAGATCTTTAATGTCTTGATGTTTGGAATACGAAAGTGAAAGAATTTGAGGAATTTCAATTTCTTCAAAAATAACTTTCGCAATTTGAGGATAAACTAACTCTGAGACCTTAATTAGGAATATTAGTAATGATTTGGAGAGTTCTAAGTTCTGTGGCATGATGAAAAACAATAATTCTGAAATTATATCTAAATCAATAATTTCTTTGTATAATTCTGGGTCAGAAATCAATATAACTGTACATACATTTACTATTTCGGGAAATGCGGCATTGTTTGCCTCTAAATGTTTGATTTTTTGATAGATAAAATTTGTAAATTGAAGAATTTCGAGTTTTGGAACATCTTTTCCGTATGTCACGTATATGCAGAGTAATTTAAAGCATGGTGCTATTGAATCATTATCGATTTCTATTAAATTGTTCAGTTGATCAAGATCAACTAAATTTACTAAGTGTTCGCGGTCATCTTCCATCAAAATAATCAAATTTGTCAGGAGTGGTATCATTTGCTTGTATATTTCGGCATCAATTTCATCATTAAATAAAGATTCGAAGAAATCGAAAAAATTAATATCAAATAACTGTTTTGGAATAGATCTTTTGAAGAAAATCAAGTTTGATATACAGTATAGCGCCGATGATATCAGTGTTACGTCATCTGTTGATAGTAAAAATGATATAATTTGTATTAATTGATCAAAATCAAACGAATTTTCACTTTTTGTTTCTAATCTGTAAGCTAATGCAGATGATATATTCGAAACTGAGTTAAATAGCTTCAGTTTATTTTGTTCTTGAATAGCAGAATTTGCAAATTCGATTTGCTCTTGAATAAAACCAAAAATGTTCTTTTCTGGCTTGATGTTTTCGTTGATGTTTGTTGGTTTTTGTAATTCTAAAAAGGATTCCTCGATTTCATCCTTCTTAAATTGCATCACATTCAAAAGAAAAGTGACTGATTTGATTTTATGCTTTGATCATATATACTGTGTAAATGTAATGGTTTGAATTGTGAAAAATGAGAAAATTGTAAATTTAATATTATTTATACAAACAAACAAGATTAATATATGATATTTTCTACAGGAGGAGCTGTGCATCGGCGGTACCAATGCTTAAATTTCCTTATAGGTGGTGCGATATTATAAGATCCGGGTCCAGGAGTGTCATTAGCACGCCAAAGTTCATTTGATTGGCTGCGAGACAGAGTAGTTAAATATTTCGGCTGATCATATTTGGGTGAATATGCTCCTGGTCCAGGATTTTCATTTGGTTTTTCAGGAATACGAAGTGAAATTCGCCCACCTTTAGCTGTATGAGCAACGCGAGGTGTGTAAATTACATCTGGTCCTTCTGTTGGTATATAGAAAAGACCTCGATCAGTATCAGAAATTTTTTGTTTTTTCCCACCAATTTTTCGAATATCAGGTATGTCAATATCTGATGTTGCTGTTCTATCGCTTATGGGTCGGCGTAGTTTGATAGTGTATTGAGGTGCTGAAGTTCCAAATTTGAAATAATTTCGAGGTCTGTATGTTCTTGGAGTCTTTGGCATCTGGACTTCAACGTATGGTATATCTTCGAAGTTAATAGTAGGTGCTCGAGATGTTTTTGTATTAAGTCTTTCTAACGAATTCATAAAAAAAAATGTGAAAAAAATCTTGGCTTACATTCATAATGGATTTTAGTAGAAAATGGTTCTTATATGCTTGTACTTCAGATTTCATATGTGAAATTAGCATAACAATCATGAACTTTTAATAAAAAATATAGATTTTCATTAAATTAAATGTTTTTGTAATTATCATTTAAATATAATTCAAAAAACAAATGAAGTCTTAGATATATTTTTCCAAAATTTTTTCATTTTTCATATTTTAATTATAAAATTCTAGAAATTTCAATTTATTTTTGGATTTTCGAAAAATTTTTGGAATTATAATAGTTTGGATTTTGATTTAAAAAATCATTACAAATTGTATTTTGTTCTTATCTTTGCAATTTAATCTTTAGATGAATGAAAAATGTGACAATGCAACCTTGGAGCGAGCAAATTTCCAGTGACGGCCGCACTTATTGGTATAATAAGCAAACAGGAGTATCTCAGTGGACCGATCCAGAAGATGAGAAAACCCCTCCAGAAAAAAAATGGAGAGAAATGAAAGATGAAGAAAATCGAATTTATTATTTTAATACGGCAACACAAGAATCACAATGGACTAAGCCAGAAAGCTTTGATGAAAAGTGGAACAAGATGCAATTCATTAAAGAAGAAAGACATAATTTTTTCATTATGCTCAGCAGCTCTGTTCCTAGACAATTAAATCCAATTTCCCAAAGAACTCCAGCTATATATACTATGGCAGAATTGACTTCGCGCTTTGATACTGATCCACGTTTGATTATCACTCCACAAAAACGTCGAGAGAGATATTTAGACGAATGGATTATACTTGAAAGAAAACGAAGAGTAGAGTTAGAAAAAGCTATGATTTCGCACTCAATGGATGTTGTCAGAGAGAGATTATTGCAAATGAGCCAAGCAGGACAAATAAACATAAATACTCGATGGGATGACATAACAATCATCCTTAAAACTGATCCAAATTGGCGAATTTTATTAAACTACGATAGAATTCAAGTTTTTTCAGACGTCATGAAAATTTTATATCAGGAATACGATCAACAGTATAATGATCAAATGGCTGAAGTTAGGAGACAAGAAGCTATCAGAAGAAAACACTTTGAATTCGCTTTAAAGAAGTTTTTGATGTTATCAAAGAAAAACGTACTTAATTTATGTTATTATGAGATAGAAGACGAAATAAAAGCACTTCCTGAATACGAAGAACTTGCATTAAACATCTCTGGAAGCACAGCCGAAGATATTTATTACGATATTCAAGAAAGTATACAAAACGAACTAGAATCACGTGCTCTCTCAATTAAAATCAATGATGATCAACTTCAATACGATACTTTTACTTCAAACCATGAAAAAGAATTAGATGGATTATCTGATGAGGAAAAGTTATTTGTATTTGAGTTTTGCAGGATGAATTATGTATCATCGAAGATAAACTCTCAAATACATGAGAAAGAGTCTAGAAAAGCCTTGATGCGTCTTTATAAATTAACTCCTCAATTGGCAACATGTTCAAACTATAAAGTAGCTAAAGAATTACTTCATAATAGAGTTGAATTCGCTGCCGTTGATTCAGATGAAGTAAGAAATGAAATTTTCCAACAATTCGTTAAATGGAACGAAAGCAGAAAGTGCGAGCTTGGTGAAATTATCCCAGATGATAGTGACTGGGAAGATTTCACACATTTGTTCGAAAATGAGCTCAAGAAAGGAAATTTATAACTTTATTTCATTTGTTATTATTTGTTTGATATATAAATATACTATTTTAGTGTCATATATTAATTTCTTTCTTTGACATGAAACAAATCTCAAGAAATTTTATCAAAAATTTCCAAAATTATCAGATAATTGACATAAATCATCATTAAAATAATATAAAATGCGATGCAATTAAATACATTTGGTTAATTTTACAAAAAGATCAAAATTGATCTGAAAGAAATTTTTCGATTTCATATTTTCTACATTATTGTAGGAAAAAAGTGAAATCATATATGTTAGCAATCAAATGGACTAGGAAATCAAGTTTGAACATTAAATTTTTTTTCAAGATTTGAAATTATCAAATCAGATAAATCGTAGGATAATGATCTAGGGACAAGATGACAAAATCAAATGTTAAGAGTCCCTTTCAATTTCTGATTGAAATACCCAGATTTGCTTTACTTTTACCACCTCTCGAAAGCTGGGGACACCGCCTATCGTTGGGAGTAGCTATTAAATAGAACCACCAAGGGTATTTTTCGAACTGCCGGTGTAGTGTAAACATCTGACATAATGATTCGTTATGCCAAGGTTTGATTCCCATTTAGCCAATTTTTTTCTTTTTTGGATCATGAATTTTTTTTTGGGTCACTATAAGATTTGTTTCATGTTCTAAATCTGCTGCATATGTAATCTATTTTTATTTACCTATTTTTTAAAAATCTATTGGATTGCCAAATTTGAATATATTTAAAATCATAAAAATCCAAAAAAAACTATAAATATATGTTTTATGCATAGTGCCGATACTCAAATATCAGATTACTTAGATCCATGAATAATATCCGAATTTTTTTTCTTAAAATTAAACTTCAAAACTTCTTCCAATCTTATTCTTATCAATTGTAAATTTTTAAAACCATTTTTTAAAATAATTTTGCGTAAATTTTATTCTCATGTTGTTTTAATCGAAAATTGATACATTTTCAAAAAAATAATATTGACTTATGAATTCATTTTTAAGGTAAATAGTATTGTTTTATTAAAGTATATGAATAATATATAAAAAATTAATGAATAATATAAGCAGATTTTTAGTTACAAAACAAATATGAGCAATGCAATTTCAAACTTTTGCTGGCAATTTCGATATTGCTCAAGTTTGTAGTATTTGTGATACCTATAACATCGGCTTAATCAAAAATTCGATTTTTCTTATGAGTTATTGAAAATTTGATTGCAATGAGAAGGATTTCGACGTTTTTGATAAACTAAGAGCTGAGCTTTAGGGTTCAGTTCATTTATGGCTGTAGTTTGATGCGTAGATCTTTTTTATTGTAAATTCTTTCAGCATGGAGATCGAGAATGAATCTTTTGAGAACTTTATGAGTTTTTACACCCGTAAAGAGGTCCTTCGAGGAAAGATAGTCCAGACTACATGAAGATGTGGGTTAACCAAAAAAATCCGATGGTTTCCCCATATTCATGTAGATCTTCGAAAAAATGAGCACCAAAAAAGCCAAAAAAATAGGCTTTTTATTGGATTTGTACACTAGATAAATAATCTATTTAGGATCTGACACTCTTGTTAGCCAGAGATATGAGGTCCTTTCTAGGAAAACGATCTATTCATCCATAAAAAAAATGAATTATCGTTTTCCCCAGAAATTACATGGGGAGTGGTAAAAGTAAAGCAAATCTGGGTAATTTTTTTATAAAATGACAACTCAACCCGAAGTAAAAACTAATACCCCAAATGGCTTACTAAATGAATTTACAGACAGACTTAATATTTTATCAAGCCACACCACACAGATTACAGGAAGACTCTATAAATCGATCAAAACAAAAGTTACACCAGGCAAAAACGAGCCTTTCATTCCAATGATTCGCATATTAAAGAAATTAGAGTCCAACTTTACCGAATTCGGAATTAAATTAAAAGAAGCTGCTATGACAAACTCACAAAATTTCGCAAGTAAACTTTCAATTGCACTTGATGTTACACCAGATCTTTTAGAATCCTCAATGAAATATTGTCAAAGATACCATAAGCATTGGAAGGCAATTGCTCAGCAAAGATTAGCAAATAAAGAAATCGAAGAAATCATCACAAGTTTCGAGAAAGAGAAGCAAATGTCATTTAATACTATCTTCGTTGAGCCATTGTACTTCATAAACAAACTCGATTCTTTCCTTGAAAATGCAATTAAAGTTTGTCCATCGAGTGTTGTTGAAAATGCAGCCATGGATACTTGTCTCAGGTTCATTGTTAGTGAAACTACACGCATGAAAATCATGTATCCAGAGTTAGATGAAATCCAAGCAATCCGCGACTTAAATGCACAAGCAGAAATCAAATTGGTTAATGAAGATCCAAGAAGATTATTTGTTACATTCGATTTAACCAAATTCTCACGTAAAACTCAAGATCCTCGTACAATTATTTTATTATCTGATTATCTCATGATCGGAGAGCGTTCGGGATCGAACAAATTTAAGAATCTTAGGTCATATCCAAAGGGAGAGTTCCAAATTGTTGATGTTCCCGATCAAAATGTTTTCAAGAATTCTGTTGATATATTAACAACAGATAAGAGCTTCAGAGGCAACATGAAATCGTCCTCAGATAAAGAAAAACTCATGGAAGCAGTCAGAAACCTTCATTCATTTTATTATCCAATTTATTCTACAATTGACAACGATAAATTTGCTCCTGTTTGGATCCCAGATGATTTAGTTACGAATTGCCAGATCTGCAACTCCAAATTCACTTTCATTAATAGAAGACACCACTGCAGAGTTTGTGGAGCTTGCATTTGCTCGGAATGCGCTAAGAAAGTATCGTTGCCTCAGTTCGAAGGAAAACAAGAAAAGGTTTGCGTCAATTGTATCAAAAAGATTAATAAGACTTCATAATTTTTTTTTTAAATTTACTAATAAAAAAAGTTTCATTATTATTTTATATATACTTATTTGAATACAATATCTTTTAGTTATATCTCAAAACAACACATTAAGGGTGCACCCGCATGTACGTTTATTTGAGAGGAGGAGGATTACCCTCTCAATTTTGAAAGCTTCGTTAACTTAATATCTCGATGAATATTGGATTAAAATTGAATTTGCCCATACCAATATATCTGATACAATATCCTTAAGTTTTACTAAAAAGAATTTTTTAAAATCCCTGCAGATTCGGGATTTTTAAATTTTTTGATTTTTTTCGAAAATTTTTCGGAAAAAAAATATTTTCAGAAGAGCCTTAACGGCTAAGTTTTATGTTTAATGTTGAGTATCAAAAAGAATGGGCATCTGATATAGCCATCATATATCCCAGAAGCAAATAAAAATTCTGACTTTTTAAGCATAAAAAATGAAATTTTATTTTTTGCAAAAAACAGGCCACCCGGATGTACGTTTATTTGAGAGGAGGAGGATTAAATTTTTGAAAGCACTAAAATTTGTAAATATGCTAGTTATATAATAATATGCAATATTTTAAAAAATAAAAATTAAAGCACGTTAAAATCTTTTTTGATGAATTTTTACAAAAGCTACTCAGGATAATGCAAGATATGTGTAGTTAAACATAAATTTCAAATCAGATTTTACTTATAATAAATATTTTAAATTTCCGATAATTAAGTTCAGATCGACTCTATACGTAGTAAATACTAAATAAGGTGCCAAAAACCTATTAAACAGTATCAAAACTATCAAGATTGTAATGTTTTTGAAGAAAAATTTATAGAATTATGGACTTCAAACAGATATTATGTAAATAAAAATAATATAATGAATTTATTTATTCGTATAATAGCAGTAATAAGTCGATTATTCACTTCTACTTCTGAGATTTGAATTTAATTTCGACAGAAAAAGAGATTCAAGAGGAAAATACTAGGGGATACAAACAGCCACCATGACAGGATTATTATGGAGCCAAGTTGTATTTTTTGATATTTTTAGAGTTTTCCTACCTATTTAGGTACCAAGTTATTGCTTACAAATTAAGGTTCTAAATTCTGAAGTTTACATGATCCTCCCGGGCGCACCCTTAATGAAAAAGATAATAATGGAGAAACAGCTCTTCATTTTTCAGTACATAATAATAGTCAAGAAATAGCCCAGCTTCTTATTTCACATGGTGCAAATATCAATGAAAAAAATAATAATGGAGAAACAGCTCTTCATTATGGAGCATATAATAATCGTAAAGAAATAATCGAACTTCTTATTTCACATGGTGCGAATATCAATGAAAAAAATAATGGCGGAGAAACCGCTCTTCATATTACAGCACGTTATAATCATTTTGTTATATCTTAAGATATGACAGGCTTGTTAAAATCCATCTATCTCAAGGTTCTAGCTAATTCATATGGGATTTCGTATTTACTTGTTCATACGTATTTCATAAGATATAACAGTAATGCACTCCAAGATCTTGATGGTTTGGACTGCGGAAAGTTTTCTTGGACATCCGCTCTTGCTGTGATTTCTTTTTAACTAAATCTGATATAATAGAGTCACAATACTCGTTTCTGTATTTACACAAGAATCAAAATACAGTGAATGGTTAGTTTTAGAGTATTGTGATTCATATCCAATGCAGATGTCTGTTTATATGTTTATCAAATTTCATTAGATTGATAAAGTCAAAAGAAGGAACAGAGATTAATATTCTTATATAATAGTTATTTGATTGAGCTAAGATTCGATAAATTTATTCGAAAATTTAGTTACGTGGGATTGGGCCACGGCGGTAAACGCGCTTAACGTGGTTGCCGCAGTCGACAATAGCGCCGTTAGCCTGGAGCTCCTTGAACTCCTCGAATGTGTATGGTGTGAAGCCGACCTTATTGGAGATGACAACACGGGTGTGGCCTGGGAACTTGAAGGAAGCACGGCGGAGAGCTTCGAGAGCGTGCTTGAGACCAGCAGATGTTGTACGGATTGTCATGATCTGGGAGTTGTAGTTAGCACGAGCAACGAGGCCTTCTGGCTTACCGAAAGCGTGTCTCATACCTGTCTGAAGTCTATCGGCACCAGCTGTGGAAAGCATCTTGTTGATACGAAGAACGTGGAATGGGTGAAGGTTGATCTTGATATGGTAGCCATCCTTGCCCATTGTCTTCATCATGTATCTGTTGGAGCTGACACGAGATGCTTCGAGGGCTTCAGAGGAAACGCATTCGTGCTCGAGGAGGATAAGGCGGCAGCAGATTGGAAGATCCTTAGCATGAGCTGTCTTTGTGCCTGTTTCGTAACGGATGATACGTGGATCTGGGACACCACGGCAGAAGCGAGACTTTGGATATGGCTTGTTTCCGATGTAACGGTAGCAGCGAGCTGGACGACGACCCATAACGCGAAAAGGCTGACCAACACTTTACAAAAATCGGTGGTCCGACGTAAAAAATTGTCACTTCGTATTTTTATTTTGCATTTTTATATGTACTTTATATGTAGTATACGAGTTCTAATAAAATAAGAGTTTCATTGAACTATAATAAAAGTGACACTCAATTCAATTGCTGGCAGTTTACTAAATTAATTAATAGCTAAATTATAATTAATATCATATTTGGTAGAAGATTTCTCAATTCAATTTTATGATTTTAAAATTGAATTATTTTTTATACGGATTTAGAATTTATATGCCTTCTCAATATTTTTTCAACTCTTAAAAAGAAAAAAAGCTAGAAAATTAGGTTAATTTAAATCCTCTCAATCAATTTAGTCCACCAGTTTATCATTTTTAAAATTCCTACGAGCAGTTCGATAGATTTTGAGTTATTTCTTTAATCTTGCTTTATATTATTTTGTAATCTTAAAAAACATGCATTTTATAGTTCTAATTCAACTAAAATTTAATGTATCAACTTAATGCATTAGTTTGAGAGTCTATTGCAATATTTATTGATTTTTCATTAAGTTTTGTTGTTAGTGATACTCAGACTTACATGATGCTTGAGAAAGGGACAGACTAGCCCATTGTCACTTTTTAATTTAGCAAATGAACGCTTATGGAGTGGAGTTTTTGGGTAAATCTGATTTGCTTATAAATGAAATAAAATCAAAAGAAACCATATTGGCATTATATTATGCAAAAATAAATGATCTTACTTAGTACTTTTAAAGTTAATTTCAGAAAAAATTTGACACAATGGTATCCGGCACATACAAGTGGTGTACAACCAAAATATAAGTTGGTTTAAACATATATTGCTATATCTCATGATCTTACTTAGTACTTTTAAAGTTAATTTCAGAAAAAATTTGACACAATGGTATCCGGCACATACAAGTGGTGTACAACCAAAATATAAGTTGGTTTAAACATATATTGCTATATCTCATGATATTACTTAGTACTTTTAAAGTTAATTTCAGAAAAAATTTGACACAATGGTATCCGGCACATACAAGTGGTGTACAACCAAAATATAAGTTGGTTTAAACATATATTGCTATATCTCATGATCTTACTTAGTACTTTTAAAGTTAATTTCAGAAAAAATTTGACACAATGGTATCCGGCACATACAAGTGGTGTACAACCAAAATATAAGTTGGTTTAAACATATATTGCTATATCTCATGATCTTACTTAGTACTTTTAAAGTTAATTTCAGAAAAAATTTGACACAATGGTATCCGGCACATACAAGTGGTGTACAACCAAATCTTCGACTCGATGAACTTGTAATCGAGTTATATTCCAGTGTTGTTCCTTCATTCCTGATTAAGTTGCAAATTAAAGGTCTGGATTCAGAGAGAAGTGTTAAAGTTATCAAAAAAGTCACAAGAGATTTCGAAGAAATGACACAATTTAAAAAAGTCGAATGCATCAGTATGCTTGAAGCTGTTCAGAAAGGTCTGAAAAATGATACACTTGATCCCAACATTGTTTACTCAACATTAAAAATATTATTGCAAAGAAAACATTTGATTTAATAAACATTTAATTTATTATAATTAATTTTTTATTACAGTATAGTAAAAAATGCTATAAATAAATTATTATATTTTATTAAAATGTGACTTTTAATAGTAAGTGAATAAAATAAATCAGGAATTGGGAAAGAAATAAGGTTAATTAAAAATAATGAAAATTACAAGTTTAAGGTTAATGAAAAAGTGACAATGGGCGAGTTTGTCCCCCACTCCATGATGCTTTAAACAGATTCATGATAATATATTTATGTAATTTTCTTCAATGTCGAGTTAAATTTTATATTCAATTTTTTTTCCATCATGTCTCTCGCTCTGTCACTTTTTGGCGTCATCGCTTCGCTCGGGGCGCCAAAAAGTGACAGAGCGAGAGACATGAATGGGTTCTATATATATACAAAATAGTTACCCCGATCGCGGCTTTTGAATTATAATTGTTTTAATAACATATTTTTAATAAAATAAACATGGATTTATATGGGAAATTAGGGAGATCTGAAACTCAAAAATTATTTTTGAATTTTAATATGATAAATGTAATTGTGATGATATATACATTACAAATAAAATATTAATTCGGAACAACGATGAGATGTGATAAATTCCATTCTTTCAAAAATCGATTTTGATGTTTTAATATTAATTTATATCTTATATGCATATAGAATATATAATAATTTTAAAACATCAAAAAGTGACAATTTGCGGTTAGAAAAAGTCATCAAAACGCTTTTTAATGATTTGATTTAACATAAATATAGACTGTCTCTTTGATATTTAACTTCAATTTCCCGAAATGAAAAGGATTTGAACAAAAACGATTATTTTACGATTATTTTTTGTAAATTTTTTTAAATTGAGACTGACATCTCTAAAACCTTCTAAAAAATCCAAATATCAAATAAAATAATATCATTAAAATTCCGCTCAATTTAAAAAATTTTTATAAATTGAGACTTCAATCTCTAAAATCTTCTAAAAAATCCATATATCACAAAAAATCATGATATTATTTTTATTCTCAATTTCAAAATTTTTTTGTACTGACTTTCGTTTTGCAAAACAGCAAAGCAGAAATTTGAAACGAAGTTTCAAATTTCTCAAGCTTGCATTCTGGGCACGTAAGTGCCCAGAATGCTATAAGGCGCGTAGCGCCGTCTCTGAATATAAAATTTATTATAATTATTAATTTATGAAATTTTAAATAAAATCGATATGTTATAACACACTGATGCATGACAGCCTTGTTATATATATAGTAGTTTCACTTTTTGCATATGAACTCTATATTGATTCTGGCTAGAAACTAGAGAAATTAAAAATTTTCAATTTTTGGCCCATTAAAAGTACCATTTTGAAATTAAAAAATATTATTATTAATTATGTATGATCCTTGATCTATATTCATAGAATCAATTGGGAACAGGACAAATTTGCCACACGGCAATTTTTTTTAAAAAAATTAATGGAGCGGAGCGATACTCTGCTGCAGGAGCCCCAAGGCTCCCAATCATTACGAAAGGGAGCCTCAGGGCTCCTGAGAATCCATCAGCAGAGGCCTTTTCATTTGGCCTCTGCTGATCAAAGATTCGGCGAAGCCATTCTTCGTCTCAGGAGCCCCAAGGCTCCCAATCATTACGAAAGGGAGCCTCAGGGCTCCTGAGAAACCTCTTTGAGAAGGTTTTCTTTAAGAAAACCTTCTCAAAGATGATTATCAGCATTCACTCAAAATCTACCAAGAGTTTCAAAGTTTCAAATCTATCTGAAATGAAGCTTTGAATCTCTTGTATATCTAATTGTAGAGGTACCTTTTCAAAATGTCTTCTATTGATTAAGTTTAATCAGTAAAAGTCATTTTGAAAAGGTACATCTCTATAATTGCTATTGAGCATTCACTCTTGGAACCTTGGAGCTCTTGTGTAGTGCATGAAAACTCCAAGATTCTAGCATAAAACATATATCATAGACATAATTTTTTCAAATATAATTTAAGGTTATTTTTTTAAAAATTAGAAAAGCGTAATTTAAGGTTATTGAAAAAGTAACACTTGGCAAATTTGTCCCGCACTCGAATCAATTGATTTGGAGTGATTGGCAAAAAAATCTTGTAAATTATAAGCATCCTGACGAAATCCATATTGTTCTAGATTTTTCTATTGTTATTACATCATTTCTCATTAATAGACTTAATCAAAATTCATAAATTATATCCGAAATCTTTGTGGTCACCGTTTTCCGCATGCATAACATAGGATTTTTTTATCTTCTAATAAATTTAAGTAGTATTTATATAGTAAAACCAAAATATGTCCTTTATAAAAATTACTAATGTCCGACCAAGACGTTCATCCAAACAAATACAGCGAATTGCGAAGTACCTATAACTACTATATCGATATGTACAATGCGTTGTATCAGTTGAGAAAGGAAAAAGAAGAAGAATTAAACTCGATTTACAAATTTATCAAAACAGAAATGATTGATTCAAATAAATATCATCCCGAAGATATGATAAAAGACATTTTAAATCTCATTCCGTATAATAATCGCTATGCAAAGTCATATTTATATCTTGCCAAACTCATATCTGATGAATATCATGTCAAAGAGGTCAAAAATCTCATATTTGTTTCAAACTTCCTGTTTTACAAAGAATATGGAATTAAATTAGACAAATCTAAATACTTCCAAAAAGATGATTTTAATTATCTCGATATTCATACAGAGAATACAATATACAGAGCAATTATGAATAATGACAAAGAAAGATTCATCGCATTCACGGAAAGAGATGGATTTGATAAAAATCAAAAACTTAAAAGCAGATTATATCCATATTCTGACGAAGGATATTCATTGCTTGAATTATGTTGTTACCATGGAGCAGTTGATTGTTTCAAGTTTTTAAGAACGAAATTCCGCTCAAATATAACTCAAAAATGTCTCGAACTTTCATTTTTAGGTGGAAATCCAGAGATAATGAGTGAATGTTTGAAATATCAAAAACCAAATGAAAAATGCATGGAATATGCAATTATTTCACATAACATTGATTTTGTTACATTCTTGAAGAATGAGTACAATATATGGATCAATTTAAAATACTGTGGATATTACAATAATCTTGAAGCATTTTTAGTTTGTTTCGATCAAACTAATAATTTTGGCCAATGCTTTGTTTATTCACCAATGTTTAATATTCCATCCCTTATCGAATACTTCCTTTCACATGGTGCAAATATCAATAAAACAAATAAAAATGGAGAAACAGCAATTCATATTGCAGCACGGCAAAATTGTAAAGAAACTGCTGAAGTTCTCATTTCACATGGTGCGAATATGAATATAAAAAATAATGGTGGAGAAACAGCAATTCATATTGCAGCACGGCAAAATTGTAAAGAAACTGCTGAAGTTCTCATTTCACATGGTGCGAATATCAATAAAACAAATAAAAATGGAGAAACAGCACTTTATATTGCAGCATGGCAAAATTGTAAAAAAATTGCCGAAGTTCTCATTTCACATGGTGCGAATATCAATAAAACAAATAAAAATGGAGAAACAGCACTTTATATTCCAGCATGGCAAAATTGTAAAGAAATTGCCGAAGTTCTCATTTCACATGGTGCGAATATCAATAAAACAAATAAAAATGGAGAAACAGCAATTCATATTGCAGCACGGCAAAATTGTAAAGAAACTGCTGAAGTTCTCATTTCACATGGTGCGAATATGAATATAAAAAATAATGGTGGAGAAACAGCAATTCATATTGCAGCACGGCAAAATTGTAAAGAAACTGCTGAAGTTCTCATTTCACATGGTGCGAATATCAATAAAACAAATAAAAATGGAGAAACAGCAATTCATATTGCAGCACGGCAAAATTGTAAAGAAACTGCTGAAGTTCTCATTTCACATGGTGCGAATATCAATAAAACAAATAAAAATGGAGAAACAGCAATTCATATTGCAGCACGGCAAAATTGTAAAGAAATTGCTGAAGTTCTCATTTCACATGGTGCGAATATCAATAAAACAAATAAAAATGGAGAAACAGCAATTCATATTGCAGCACGGCAAAATTGTAAAGAAACTGCTGAAGTTCTCATTTCACATGGTGCGAATATGAATATAAAAAATAATGATGGAGAAACCGCACTTCATATTGCAGTATGGAATAATAGTAAAGAAACTGCCGAAGTTCTCATTTCACATGGTGCAAATTTTAATGAAAAAATAGTGGTGGAGAAACCGCACTTCATATTGCAGCACGGAATAAAAGAAAAGAAACTGCTGAAGTTCTCATTTCACATGGTGCGAATATTAATGAAAAAATACACTTGGAGAAACCGCACTTCATATTGCAACATGGCATAATAGTAAAAAAATTGCCGAAATTCTCATTTCACATGGTGCGAATATTAATGAAAAAAATATAGTTGGAGAAACCGCACTTCATATTGCAGCACAACGTAATAATGCAAAAATTGCAGAAGTTCTCATTTCACATGGTGCGAATATGAATGAAAAAGACAAAGATGGAAAAACCGCACTTCATATTGCAGCATGGCATAATTGTAAAAAATTGCCGAAGATCTCATTTCACATGGTGCAAATATGAATGAAAAAAATAAAAATGGAGAAACCGCACTTCATATTGCAGCACGGAATAATAGTGAAGAAACTGCTGAAGTTCTCGTTTCACATGGTGCTAATATGAATGAAAAAGATGAAGATGGAGGAACAGCACTTCATATTGCAGCACAGAATAGTTATAAAGAAATTGCCGAAATTCTCGTATCACATGGTGCAAATATTAATGAGAAAACTAAAGATGGGAAAACCGCCCTTTATTATGCAGCATGGGATAATTGTGAAAAAATTGCCGAAATTCTCATATCACATGGTGCAAATATTAATGAAAAGAATAATGATGGAGAAACTGCACTTTATATTGCAAAACTTCTTTCTCATACAAAAGTTGAAAAGGTTCTCATTTCGCATGGTGCGAAATAATGTTCTTACATAAGATATTATTCTTATTCTGGTACATTCGAAGATGATTTTCATTAGAATAAAAAAGACAAAATAAAATAGTTATGACTTCTTTCCAACCAAACGGTCTATTTTCTTCACTTCGAACTTGAAAAATTTCAAAAAAATAAAATTGAGTTCTTTTAAATGTTCATATGTAGGGCATTATTACCTCATAGTATGAAGTTCGGAATAGTTGTTTTTGATCAATCATGAGTTGAATATTCTAAAATTCTATCACAAATACTATGCTTGGACTGCATTGTAAGCAAATAATCAGTATGTCTAGCATATTACTTAGTTTATTTAGTAATCTAGATGCCTCTTAATGCTAAATAACTTTGATTCAAAAAATATGAGGTAATAAATAAAATATTTTTCATTAGCTGGGATGCCACAAATAAATGTTAAACATTTTATTAATTCAAATTAGAATGATTTTTTATTTGATTATATAACATAAATGATCATGAGAATTCTTCAAGAAAATTTTTTCCATTGAAAATCTAATTATTCACAAATAATCTATAAATTATGAAGATAGTAAATCGAATATCTCTTGAATGACCATTTAATTCTATATGTTTATGTTATTCCAAACATAGTTATTCAAATAAAGAGGAATTCCGATAAAGGATTGGTATCCAACTGCCAATCACGAAATAACTTCATTGTAACTATAATCGGTATAACAAATTTATGTTTAATATAGTTATATGTAAGTTGGACGATAAAATGAATAAAATGGAAAATTGAAATTTTTTTCCATCAATTTTGAGCATATGATGATATTCTTGCATTGAATTTGTGTGCGCCATGAAAAATAATATACGCAAAATTAATGGTTTAACATTTTTGAAATTACAAAATTGAAAGATGACAAAGATCAAAAAAAAAATATTGCTGCTTTGGTCTTGTTTTTATTAGACTGATATATTTTGTGAATAGTAAAATCAAATCAAAAAACTTACTAATAATATATTTGATTCAAAAAATTAGCAATATAGTTCTTCGAGGCTTTATCCAAATTAAAAAACTTGCCTTAATATCCATCTAATTAAATATATTATATTAATACAAAAATTATCCCATCTTCTTTTTTGTATTAAATTTCTAGGTGATATTCCATGAAAATCCTTTTCGTTGACATCTGCACCATGAGAAATCAGAAGTCTTTTTGTTAATCTATGCTCACAGTATTCACCAACTGCAAAATGCAGAGCTGTTTTCCCTTCATAAGTTTTTACATTGATATCAGCGCCATGAGCAATAAGGAATTTACAACATTCTTCATCATTTTTATCAGCTAAAATATGAAGAGATGTTTTTCCTTCATAATCTACAATATTGACATCTGCGCCATGTGAAATGAGACATTCAAATACATCTAAAAAAGGGCGCTCAGTAGCATAATGAATGAAGGCTCTTCCTTGATTATCTCTTGCATTAATATCTGCACCATGTGAGAGAAGTAGTGTAATCATTCGTGACACTTCCAAATATTGGAAAGAAATATAATGGAGAGGAGTTTTTTCTAGATTATCTCTTAAATTTATTTCTGCACCATGTGAAAGAAGCTGCCAAACCATCCATTGAGAGTTATTTGACACTGCATAATGTAGTGCTGAGCATCCTTTATTATTTCTCAAATTTACATTTACATCATGCAAAAGAAGGAATTCTGCCATTTCATTAGATTTGTTATATAAAGAAATATGAAGTGCAGTATCACCATCAAAATTTTGGACATTGATATCAATTCCATTTAATATCAAAAATCTTGCTATAGTTAATGAATTATAACCTGCAGCAACATGAAGAACTGTAGAGGAGTTTGAATCTCGCTCGTTAATAAAAGCTCCATGTGAGAAAAGATATTTTATTACCGAATCATTTCTTAGAGTTGCTGCATAAAAAAGTGCTGTCTTTCCATTTTCATCTTTTTCATTTATACTAACTCCTTTTGAAAGTAAAAGTTCTATAATTTCAAGGTTATTTTGTTCAACAGCAAGTTGAAGATATGTTTTTCCTTGATAATGTGGTATATTGACATTTGCATTATGTGAGAGAAGAAGATTAATCATTTTCAGATTCTTATTAATAATAGCATAGTAAAGGGCAGTTTTTTCCCCCGATCGGGGTTATTAATTGTAGAACCAGATAAAATTAGGAACTTTGCAACCTCGAGATTATCACTTTCACATGCATATATTAAAGCAGTTTTCCACTTTTATCCTAAGCATTAATATCACCTCCATTTGATAGAATGAAATTTATAAATTCCTTGTTGTTGTTTATAACTGCAAGATGAAATGCAGTTCTTCCACAATTACTTTTGCTATTGATGTCTGTTCCATGTTCGAATAGATATTTTACCAATTCTGTATAATTATGTTCAAGTGCAATATGAAGTGGAGTAATTCCTTCATTATCTGATATATTTCAGGGTGCACACGAGAGGATCATGTAAACTTCAGAATTTAGAACCTTATTTTTAGGCATTATCTTGGCTACCTATTTAGGCTCGAAAAGCAAAAAATATCAAAAAATACAACTTGACTCCATTATGACCCTTTCATGGAGGTAGTTTTTATCCGCTAGTATTTTCCCTTTGAATCTCTTTACAATTCGAAATCAAATTCAAATCTCAGTAGAAGAAAGGAAGAATCGACTTACTACGGTTGTGATACGAATAAATACATATATTTAATTATTTTTATTTACATAATAATTGTTTGAAGCTCATATTCCATCAAATTTTTAAATAAAAACATTAAAATGTTGAAAATGTTCATATATTTTAATAGGGTTTTGGCACTTTATTGAGGAATTACTACATACATAGTCGAACTGAACTTGATATTTTGAAATTTAAATTATTTATCAAAATTAAAATTTAACTTGAAATTTATAATTATTTAGTCATATTTTGCATAATTCTAAGTAGATTTTGTAAAAAATCAAGAAAGAAAAATTTTAACGTTCTTTATTTTTTCTTTTTTATAATAATACATATTATTATATAATTAACATATTCATAATGTTTCACCCTTTCAAAAATATAATCCTCCTCCTCTCAAATAAACGTACATATGGGTGGCCTCTTTTTTCAAAAAATTAAAATTTGAAATTTTGGGCTCAAATATTAGAGATTTTTTCAACCTTCAACGATATATGTTGTCTATATCAGACCTCCTTTCTTTTTGATACTTAACATTGTTCCTAAATCTTAGCCGTTAAGGCTGTTCTGAAAATATTTTTTTTTTCGAAAAAATTCGAAAAAAATTCTTAAAATTCAAAAATCCCTTAATTCCTGAGGATTTTGGAAAAAAGTTTTTACATGAACATGTGTATATTATATGAAGTATATTGATAAGGTAAAAATCAAATTTTATTGCATATTCATCGAGAAAATAAACTAACGAATCCCTCAAAATTGAGAGGGTAATCCTCCTCCTCTCAAATAAACGTACATACGGGTGCACCCTTAAATCTGCTCCATGTGATATTAAAAGTTTTGCTGTTTCAAAATTTTGAAATAATATCGCATTATGAAGCGATGTTCGTCCACTTTTATCTTTTGCATTGATATCTGCACCATGCGTTATCAGAAATTCGGTAGTGTCATTAAATTGATGTAATACTGAAAAATGAAGAGGTATTTTGCCGTCTATTGTCCTTGCATTTATATTTGCACCTTGAGATAAAAGTATTTCAGCAATATCCTTATTATTTATCCTTGCGGCTAAATGAAGAGGACAATAGCCATAGTTTAAATTTCTAGAATTAATATCTATTTCTTGCTGAATGAATGAATTTGTTTCACTTCCATTCGGAATATCTATATTATATGAGAAAAGAAGTTCTACCACTTCTTTACTATTGTTAAAAACTGCATAATGAAGTGCTGATTCGTGATTTTCATCATATAAATTGATATCTGCACCATGCATAATTAGATGTTTTGCAATTGTGACATTATTATTGATTGCTGCATAATGCAGAGCAGTAACTTTCTTATCATTTTGTGCATTTACATTGACTCTGAGTTCTATGAAAATTTCTGCCAACTCGGTATTATTGTTCATCGCAGCAATATGGAGGACAGTTTGGCATGCACTTGTCATTAAATTGACATTTGCACCATTATCAATAAGAAAATTCACAATTTCAATGTTGTTATTCAAGGTCGCTAAATGTAATGGTGTTTCTTTGTTTTTATTTTTAGAATTTATTTTGGAACCATGTGCAATCAATGTTTTGACAGTTTGAATATTTTTACACTTTGAGGCTAAATGAAGTGCTGTGTCTCCATTTATATTTTCTATATTAACATTGATTCCATGAGATACTAAGAGTTCGACCATTTGTGTATGACTATTTTTTACTGAAAGATGGAGAGCAGTATCTCTTTCTTCTGTTTTGGAATTGATCTTTGCACCATGAGAAAGTAGATGTTCCATTAAACATTGTGAATTAAACAGTATTGCATATGGGAAACATTTATTTATATCTTTCGTTTGATCAAGATAAACTAAAAATGTAAGAAAGTTGTTGTATTCACAACATTCTCTTAAATCTATTTGTAAGTTGTATTCTCGTATTAAGAAAGATACAAAATCGATGTTATGTGAAATTATTGCATATTTCATGCATTTTTGAGTTGGTACTTGATATCTTAAGCATTCATTCATTATGTCTGGAACGCCACTCAAAAACGATAATTTGAGACACTTTTTAGTTATTTCTGGTTGAAATTGTTCTCTCAAAAACTTGAAACACTTTACAGATCCATGATAGCAACATAGTTCAAGTAACGAGTATCCTTTTGATGAAGATGGATAAAAATCATTTATAATCCTCTGATTAATATTGAATCCATCTCTTTCAGTGAATGAAACAAATGATTGCTTGTCATCATTCATGATCGATCTGCCGATTGTATTTTCTTCATATATTTCTAATGAGATCTTTCTCGAATCATAGCACTTGAACTTCTCTATATCGTTTTGACTGAAAACTACACCAAGATCTTTATAAAAAAAGTAATCAAAAATTGATGATTTTTCATTTGTTCGATCGATATTAAATTCCTGATAAATTTTCTTTATTATGGACCAATAAGATGGTAAATATCGATTATTGTATAATGATGCATTTGCAAGTATGTCAAATATCTGATTTGGCAAAAATTTATTTGATTCAATGAATTTTGTTCTTATTTCATCATAAATTATATTGATTTCTTCAACTTCGAATGTATTTAAATTGAATATTTTGTTAATAACATCCTTATAATCATGACATGTATCCATAAGTTCACCATAGATATCTCTCACCATGATTGCACTTTGACACTTTTTAAATCAATGAACAATTCTTGGAGAAAATCTATTTGATCTTTGAGAAAACATATCAACACACAAAAATGATAATATTTAATTTTAAAAGATATTGTAAAATGATGAACTCAAGTTCAAATTTTAGAAAAATTTCGCCAAAATTATTCTTTTTGCGTAATTTCTGCTTACACAAAGCTTAAACCATATGTAAAATCAAACATATACGATAAAAATATTGATTGATGCATAAATCATCTGATTAATGTATTGAAATCTTAAATTCTCATACTCAATGTTAATTCCAATAATCATTTATTATTTGCATAAAAATAATTATGTTTCTATATCATACTAAATATATAAGAATCTTTACTTGAAATATTTCAGCTCTCACTACCATGTTTAAGCCAAACTGACTTTCACGGTTAATAATTATCTATCGAGGGTTTTAACAATGTAGCTGAGCATAAAATATTACCTATTAAATCCTTGAATTTCAGATAAAGTTTTATTTTGCCGTTTACAATTTTTAAAATTTTTGACACATAATGAAAATTTGTCAACTTGGCAAAAATATTAAATGGCTTCCTTTGCACAAAAAATCGTACAGGATACACAAAAAGTCAATGAACAAAAGACTATTATGGCCAACCCTCTAAGTGTTATCACTCCAGGAAATGATTGCAGTAAGAAAATTTTCAATTTTTATCTTGACACCTGCTTTGTTAAACTATCAACGATCAATCAACTCATAAAATACATTGATTACGTCAAATTAAAAGATATATCAATTCGTTACAACTCTCGCAAATGGTTTTCAATATGCGTTATTTGCGAAATAAACGAAAACGACTTCTTAGTATCCGATTTACATCATAGTGCTTTCAAATTAACATGCAAACACAAACTTCCATACAAAGTTTTTGATGTTTTAATAATTTCATGCGCATTCGTTAATTATAATATAATTAGAATAACTGATCCAAAACAAATCAAGAGGCTTGGACATTGTGATAAAATTATAAAATGCGGTCGTTGTGATCCAACAAATAAGAAATGCTCGCAATACATTGATTCAAGAGATGGAACTAATTGTGATTATCATACAACTCAATCATTCATGGAAGCCGGACAAGATAGACAGCTACTCAAGCAAACTACACTCCCATATGCCAATGAATTACCAGATAGCATGATTCCTAATGAAGATGAAGACCTAAAATATGTTTCTAGAGATGATAGTGCAGCAATTAAAGCTTATTTGGAAAGCCATAAATATGGAAGATCAGCTAAGTTAGTCCATGCAATCCAGCTCCAGAATTCTCCAGTAATCGGAAAAGGATTTAAATCCGGTGATGAAATTAGATTATGAAACATGATTAATTAAGGATATTATTTTTGTTTGCTATATACTAAAAATTTAATTTGTTAGTTTGCTATAAAACCCATATTTTTTGATAGTTTGCTTAGGAAAAAAAATTCTTTATTTTAATAAATAAAAGAAAAATCTTGGTCCCGCCAGGAGTCGAACCTGGATTTCGGGATTCAAAGTCCCAAGTGATAACCGCTACACTACGGGACCAGGACATTAGAGGTTTTTTTTAATATTCCTTAATCAAAAATTTTAAGAGTATTATATATAGAATTATATTAGGGTCATGACATCGATTATTATTCCAACAAATTTATTCTCATTCTAGTTCAATCAATAAATTTCAATCAAATACATATATAATTTTACATTCAATAAAACGCTATACATTCTTATTTATTCCTACACATTCATAGTATTTTATCTCTAACGCCATATTAACTCTACTTTGTAAATCTTCTTGATTTTTCAGCCTTCTTTGGAGTCCACAATCCAGCCAAAGCACTTCTGACATCTCTTTCTGTTGCGTAATCACTTGCTGTCTTTCCTTCATTATCTTTAATGGATTTATCAGCATCACGGTCAATAAGTGCTTTAACTGGCTCTGGTCTTCCGAAAATGCAAGCACGAATCAAAGGAGTTCTTCCATTTGCATCAACAGCGTTGACATCAGCACCCATCTCGACCAAAATGTCGATTGCTGTAATGCATCCTTGAGATGCAGCGAGATGCAATGCAGTTTCGCCATTTTTAGTACGTAAATCTGGATCAATCTTATTTGTACGCGCAACAGTCCTCAAAACATCAGTGCTAGGCGATGTAGCCAAGTAGTGCCACGCGGTATGGCCAACGTCATCGAAAATGTTGAAGTTTGCACCGACTTTTGCGAGATGTTTGATGCAAGCAAATGATCGCTTTCTTAAGGCTTCGACAAGAGGGGTTCTGCCTTTGTATTCGCAATCTTTCGAAACTTCGTTAAGTATGTAAACAAGAGCGTCAAGGTTCTCCGATCCAGCCGCGGAGATGCAGAACTCTTCAGGGGTTGTAATTTTCTTCTGGTGTAAGTAATAAGCGAATCTTGTGTTGCAAAAAGCAAAACTAACAAGACTATCTGGCATATCAGCATCAACATTGGACAATAGGTATTCAGCAGCTTCGAATTTGTGGTACTTGACGGCTTCGCTGAAGTTTGTAGACAAATCGTATTTATTTTTAATTAAAAGTGCTATTATTTTGATGTTACCGCCACGGACTACGTTTCTGCATGTCTTGCCTGTAATGCTGATGCCTTGCGAAAGTAAAAACTCAAACATTTCGTAGTGTCCACAATAACCAGCGACATCAAGGTACGAAATCTGTTCATAGTTATCCGAATCGAACTCCAAATCGAATAAGGATACTGTTTGCTTCAAATTTACCGTACCTTGTGAAAGCATCGATTTCGCAGAAGCTAAATCATTGTGTGCAACAGCGTAAGGGAAAGAATTCTTTGGAAAGACGTTTTCATAGGCTTCTTGACTAATATGCGTTATCAAATGGGATCCCTTAAGAGCATGTGCGGCAGTCAAATAGTGGTTGATGCCGTTGTACGAGAGAATAAGTCTTCCAAGACTTAGATCATTGAAAATCCTCAAGTATAATTCCCACTTGAAACGGTTGACCATTGCAGCAACTCCTAAACAACGCATTACGTAGTATTTCCTTCTTTCGATAAAATTGTTAAGCTTTTTAATGCAATCTTCATAATTTTCTTCCGAAACATTGAATAGAGCATCTTCTATGATGATGGAATTTTGAAGATTTATTGGATAACTCTGTAAATCAAGAGGAACTTGCATACTTTTCTGTTTTTATCGTCCTTACATTTTCGATCGCTTCACATTTTATGCAAATCTTATTTTTTCTTAAATCAATTGTGCATACTAAATATAACAAAATAAATTGTTTAACGGTTTATTGATTTTACAATCAAAAAATTTAAGATTTGTGAATTGAACAAAAATATTTTCATTAGCACATTCAACAGAACATTATTTCCAATTAAAAATTGAAGACATTTCGCAAAAAATTTGACAACGAAATTCTTTTACATTGATTGAATTTGTTATGTATCATGCAAAGATTAAATTTTTTATAAATTTTTTTTTGATCTGATTTTCATCAATTTTCAACCAAGCGAACAAGATCGAGCCTTCGTTTAGCTGTTATTATTACAAACAGTCAAAATGTGCTCATGACCATATAGTTATGGTAAAGAAATAATTATGTTCAAAATAAAATATCGAAACAAAGTGAATACTCACCATTAATATACTCACTCACAGTTACGAATGAATCTCATAAAAGTATTTTCGTTGAAAATGCATCTTCTATTCAAAATTGTTATCAAGGGGCTTGGATCTAAAAGAAAACTTTTAAAAGGCTTTTGTGGTCACATAATATAAAATGTCTTATGCTTATCTTTAATTCTTTCAATCAATAGTTAAAATGCCTTAATAGAATTCTTTTTATTGAAAGATATTCAGATGTAGTTACCATATGGTAATGAGGTAATGCTTAATATCAGTACTAATCTTGTAACTCAGAGAGAAAGAGATAAATATGTTCGCTAGGGCCTATAACACGACTTTAGATTTTTAGATTTATTTTTTTATAAAAGTTTTCAACTTTTCAAAATCTCTCTTTCATCAAATATTTATTTCATCTGGAGTAACATGCTAACTAACGAACATCATATTTATCGAAGTTGCTCCATTTCACAAACAATGAATGGGAAGAAGTCTACAAAACAAATTTTAACTCTGAAATCTACAATAAAAATCAAACATACGTAGGATACACAGGCAACTTTTATGTACACGGAGTTTATTTTTGTAATCTTGGCAACGAGGGTGTTATCAACCTTAATTCTGAGGATGTTAAGTCTCTTATTTCATCCAATTCATTCGCAAACTCATCTAGCAACGGCGAAGGCGGGTCCATCTACATCATGCAAGGTCAAAGCTTCATTCGCAAAGTTTGTAGTTTTGGATCCAAATTTACTGGCGTAGGAAAGTTCTGTTATATCGCAGTTTCATATGATTCTACTAGTATCAATGAAATTCATGATTCGTCTATAACATATTGTAATCAAGGAAAATTAGACGGTTTTAATTCAATTTATTTAGGATATGGCAGTAATTCATTTTTCCAAAACAATATCACGAGAAACCATTGCGAAGATAATACAGCTTTTGTAATAGCATATGGCGAAGGCATAATTTCAATTAAATATTCGATTATTGATGAAAACTATGCAAATTCCAGAATTTGCTTTACTAAATCCAAACCAACAACATATGACAGCATTGTTTTCACAAACAACACTATTTCTAAAAATGATAATTCTTTCCCTGGAATGCTTCATTGTCAGAGTAGCCATGTTACATTTGAAAACTGTTTCATTGAAAATAACAAACAAAACGGGTGTTATTTGTTTGGAACCTTAGATGATTTAGATTCAATTACAGTCTCTAATTCATATATTGATTCACGAGAAAAATTATATTTAGAAAGTCAACAAGTTACGATTGAACAAAATAAAGACATTTCAATTGAACTTCATCTTCATTCGACAGAACTCTGTCCAACAGGAAATAATTATTTTGTTTATATTAACAAAGGGAATAAATTCATTTCGGGGTTTATTCATCTTAAAGGAATAGGTGAATCAATGACTTCGTTTTTTTCTTAATTTTTTTTTGAATGAGTATTTTGAAAATCTTTTAATATTAATATTTGAGAACAAATTACTTATATAATCAAATTGAGATATTGAATAAGTATATATGATGAAACAGATGAATTTTGTTATCAATTGTTAAATGAAAGAGATTTGGAATTTGAGTTGAAAGACTAGATAAAATTGAGTTTCTGTCTTTCAAAGAGTAAACCGAGAAAAGACATGCTTGCAACTTCTGAAAGGATCAAAAAGTTCTGAAAGAATATTGAATATGTCTGTTGTGGCACGAAAACTAAGAACTAAAATAAAAACAACTCAAATAGAACAAAAAATTGAAATAAAAGATAAAGTTCTATTATTAGCATTAAATTTTGATAAATATTTTTTTAAAGGATATACAGTTAACCTGTAAATATTACTTTTTATTGAAATAAAAAACAAATATTTTATTCTATTCTAGTATAAAAAAAAATAATAAATTAAAATAAAATTACAAAAAAATTAATTTCCAGACATATCTCTCATTGCTTCAAGTGATCTATCAGGGAAATATCTATTCATTGCTATTTCCGAGTTAAGCATTGCCTGTTGTCCAGACAAATCGTCAAGATTTGGAACGTATTCGTCATCATCCATTTCTTCTTCTTCCTCTTCTTCTTCGTCGGAATCATCTGCTGGATATCTGTATGGTGAACCTCTTACGCTTGACGAATTATCATCAACTCTTGCCAAAGCCGATTTCGCGGGTCTGTATCCTTTCTGATTATTCGATGGGTTTATGGCTTTCTTGTAATAAGCCCTTGCTTTCTTTTCATCTTTTTGAATTGGTCCTTCTCCCATTTCGTAAATTAATCCCAATGCGTAATTCGCCTTTGGATTTCCTTGTTTCGCTGCCAACTCGAAGTAATAAACAGCTTGTTGTATGTCTTCATCCAATGTATCACCATCTGCAAGCATTTCAGCATACCTGTACTGACTTTTTTCATCTCCTAAATCAGCAGCCATTTTGTAATATTCAGCAGCGGTTTTGACATTATCTGTTGGCAAACATTTATCCAAGACACAAAACTTTGCGTATTTCCTCATCGCTTCAACGTATCCCAAGTCCGCCGCGCCTTTCATCAATCGTGCAGGCAATAATTTATCATCTGACATGAACTTTCCTGTTAAATAATAATCAGCGAGTTCGTAATACGCTCTTGGTTCGTTCTGTCTTGCTGCGTTTTCCAAATAAGTTTTTGCCGATTCAGGTTCAGAATTTTTGATGTGTATGGCCCATCTCGTTTGTGCCAAAGGATGACCAGCGTCTGCAGCCATTTTCATGAATTTCTCAAGATCGGAGTTCCATTTATTCCCTTCAGCTAATTTCATGTCGACATATTTATATGCTGACTCTGCATTGTGTTTTTCTTCTGCAGATCTTTTGAGATAACTGTAACAACCGTTTTTATCGACATTGACACCTTTTCCTTCTCTTAGTATCTGAGCGTATTGAACCATTGCTCTGTCATCACCTTTATCTGCCGCCATCTTGAAGTATTTTGCAGCCAAAACAGGGTCATCGACTTGAACTTTTCCTGATGAAATGAGATCGCTGTAATGTGTAGCTACTTCTGTATCTCCCATTTCAGCTCCAAGTCTTATAAATCTTAGTTCATCGTATCTGTTGAACAGAGATAGTTTGTTTTGTGTTATAAGTTTGGCCATGATCATTTGCGCTTCGTTGTTTCCTTGATCACTAGCTCTGGTAAGCAATTCAACGATGTCTTGCTTGTTTTCTTCGAAAGCTTTGTCAATAAGGTATTTCGCATATGATAACTGTGCTTGACTTTCGCCTTGCCATGCGGCCAAACATTGATAATGGGCCAAAACAGAGGGGTCTTGGTTTTGAAGAGTCCCGTTCATGATGTACTCGATGACGGTCTTCTGGGCATTCAAATGACCTTGGTCCGCGGCTAATCTAAGATATTTTTCGGCTAATTTCGGATCTGTTGAAACTCCTTCTCCGTGTGCATACATTAGACCGAGTCTGTACTGTGCATCTTGGTATCCACTGTCCGCGGAACTAGTTAAATAGGCAATGGCTTCATTCAATGACTTAGGTTTCGAAACCATGTAATAAGATGCCTGATATTGAGCGTAAGGGTTGCCTGCGTCGGCCGCAAACCTGAAGGACTTGAGAGAGGCATTCTTGTTTACTGAACAGCCTCTGCCTTTTCTGCGATTTATGGCATTTAATAAATGGGCGTGAGCATCTCCGGAATCTGCAAGAGTTCTGTACTGATCTGCTAGCGTATGGTCATCTTGCATTGGAGGAATGGGTATTGGTGTGGATTCAACTCTTTCTACCGTTGAATTTGAAATTTTATTGACGTATTTCGTAAATTCAGTAATATCTGTTCCAGAAAATACAACGTGGTCAGAAGACATTTGGTTAATGATCTCTTCGATGGTTGGACGGTTCTTTGGGTCTGAATCGATACATTTTTTGATTAAATCAATCATTGGATCGCTGGAAGCATTGTTAACGAATGATACTTCAAATTTTGTTGATTTGTGAAGTAAACATGCAAGAATACAACCAAATGAATAAATATCATAAGGTGGAGCGAGAATTTCTGTATTATCTGTTGGTAAAAATGATTTAGATGTGTTAGCATCTATATCGCTGATATCATAAAGCTCTCTAAGCCAAAATTCCGAGATTAATGGTTCAAATGTTCGAGAAAGAAACACATTTGATGGCGTAAGTAGTCCATGAATAATGTTTTGAGAATGTAGAGCTTTAATACCTTGAGCAATTCCATATGCAACAATTGATTTTTTCGTGACTGTCCAAGAAATTGGATGTTTTCCGCGTTTTTCCTGGTCAATCATTGAAGAAACAGATGAATTTAAGAAATATGGCATTGTATAGCGAATATATTGATTGTCTGAGAAATCAAATTGATATGTACGATGAGGTGATGCTAAACAAGCATGAGAAATCGTAGAATATTTCTTGTAATATTCATTTGCATCTGTTTTCTTTGATTTATCTGTTAAGTCCCGCTTAAATTTCGATAAGACAAAAATAAGTCCTCTCGAAAGATCTTGAACTAAATCTGTTGAATGATTCTTCTTATCTGAGAGTTGCTGGATGACTCTGAGCATTTCATCAGATGGTGGTGCTCCCTTAGTCATCAGCAGAAATAATAAAAAAAAAAACTTTTTTTTTGACAAAGCGGGAAATTAAATTAATATATAACATATTTGATATGCTAATCAAAATAGAAATCGTCTACCTAAGCGATTCAAATTGAAGTTTCGATGAGATTCTGCTTTTGAAATTTTGCTGAAATTTGATATTCCTTTAAAGTTATTGAAAACACTCAAAACATTCATATCTCATAGTAGGTATTTTATTATCAAGATCTCAATGAACATTTAAAAAATGAGTACTTTACAAATCAGAATGCAAAAAATGTTCAATCATAAAGATCATCGCGAATTTCAAAATCTTTAACAGTAATAAGGATTGCCCAAGATATCCATAGCAAGCTGGCCCAATGAAGAATGTAGGTTTCTTATATCGATAACCATTATCTTTAAGATGATTGAGAAAACAAGTAAATTTATTTCATGGTCATTTTCCGCTTCCAAAAAAGTAACATTTTTATTCCTTATAACCAATCAAATTTTTATTAGGGAACATAATGAAAAATTAAGTAACACAAAAGACAAATTAGTTTATTTTTGATGAAATAATGGTATTTTGTTTAACATAATAAAATAATTATTTTTTAATAAATAAAAAAACAAAATCAATAACAATATATATAAAACAAGAATAATATATTATAACAATCTCTATTTCATTGGTATGACGAGTTCTGGCATTATTCCAGACAAGTTATTCTGATCTAAAACTCTTTTTCTTATCATTACTTTGTTCAATTTCGCAACTTTTATCATATCCAAAGCATCAGTAATGGCAGCGCCCCAGACTTCCAAGAAAGGATGTTCCTTACCAGGAATACCTATAATAACATTACCGAATCCAACAGACGAGAAAGCATCGACATCAACGTTTTTAGACAAAGAAACTTTTCCTGCTTCATCAAACATTTGTCTTATAATCAAAATAATTTTGTGGATGATGTAAGGAGTGAATTCCATTTCGTGACTGAAATCAGTACCGAAACAATACATCGAAGCATGTGTTCTATAGTATCTAAACACTTTAGATTGAGAGATAATGACATCAAATCTTCTGAAAACTTGATCAATGATTTGCGGCGCTTTTTCTCCGAAGTCTGTTTTAACTCTAACGATTGCAACAATTCCACTTTTTGTTTCTTTGATGATATTCGATCTTTTTAGCTGCGTAATTTGGAAATCTTTCATAATCCATTCGTTTCTGATTGTTATTGGCAATTTCCTGTATTTCGCGAGGAAATTCGAGTAATTTGCAAATTCAGCTTCAGGAGTAAATATCAAAATAAGCTGCGAAAAGTGTTTTTGTGTTGTATAAATTGGGAAAATTGACAATTCATAATTAATTTTCATATTCTTTCCTTTTGCAGTCAAAATATGATCAGAAACAGAATTAATTGATCCCAAAATCTTATAAGTTCTTATTGTATGGAATTCTCTATACGCGAATTCATTAATTAACTGTCCAATCTTTTTATTTGTTCCTTCTTCGATGAAACCATCTTTTAATATCTCAAACAAACTCAAATTATCCTTGAATTCCTTCGAAATCAAGAAAATTCTTGATGCTTCATCATTAGAATATAACAATTTCAATTCGCAATCAATAATCATTACAGGAGTTGTCATCTTATCACAGAATTCTTTCGTACAATTTTGCAGCTTCTTTTCTTCTTTTTTAGTTGATAAATCGAAACTTTCTTCAATTAAATCAGAAATTGTGCAATTTCCATTTATCATTTTCGCATTCGACAAAGTCAAACTCAAAACGAAATAAGGGATATCGAAATGAGTCTGCAACATAAAGATATAAACAAGATAAATAATAATTAATATAAAGAAAATAAAATGAAAACAAAAATATATAATTGGTTGATTAACAACATTAGAAGTTGATGCTTCAACAATTTCTGTTGATGTTTGATTGACTAAATCAACAATTTTCGTATAGAAAGAATTAAATATCAATGACCTAGTTGCTCCTGATAATGTTGTATTCGTGTTATTGATAGAAATCAAAACATTTGACAACAATTTCAAGAAAATTGAGGATTCTTGTTCAATCAATGTTTGTGAATCCGAAAAAATCTGGAAATACTTAGGAAAACAAAGCTTGCAAAGAGGTGTTGACTTTCCATACTTCGTGTCTGAATGATTGGACATCATTTCTAATGTTTGTGATATCTCTTTCAAAGTGTCAGAAATGTCAGAACAACTTTGATTTCTTATTGTTAAAATTGAGTCTAAAGATGACTTTGACATGCATAACTCAAAAGAAATCAAGTAGCCGTAGCTTTCTATTCTATTGTTCATTGTAGAAATGAAACAATTCATAGAAGAAACTGAAAAAATAATCGTCAAAACAGAAAAAATAAATAATAACAAAGTTGGTAAATAAACTAAAGAAAGGAATGGTAAATAAATGGGCTTAGTTATTGTCTCGTCATTCTTCTTTGCAAGAACAAATTGGTTCTCAATCTCTAATGATGATTCTGACACTTTTTTGTAAAAAGCTTTCAATTTTACCAAAAAACTTTTTGACACTTTTTTGAGTTCATAATAAAATGAGTGTTCTCTCTTGTAACCAGCGTGGAAGAGGATGATTATTATAGCAAGAACGAAGAGATACAAGAAGGAGTGTATAAGGATAAGGATTCCGGCCTTATGATGAAGAATTACTTTGGGATAATTCTCGGCTGACGAAATTGCCTGGTAAAACTGGGAATTGAACTGATGTAGATGTTGTACGTATCCACAATACACTTGCTGTGATATGTTCAGCTCTTGTCTGTACGATCCCATCAAATCTAGAACGGTTTCATATAAATATATGACGTTTTGGTAGAGTTGCTGGAAAATAGTGGTGGAAACATCAACGTTGGTCCCGGACATGAACTTATATGTGTGTTGGAAGTAGTAGGAATCGTAAATTGAAAAATGATATCTTCGAACTTCGTCGAAAAACAACATACAGTCGTTTATCGTGTTCTTTATGTAGTTAAATGTGTCCTGTGTGTATAAGGAGTCGTCTCTGTAAGGGTCGTCGTATAAAATATCAATTAAAGGTCCAAAACTCGTAATATTGGCCAATTGATGCAGTAATTCGTAGGTATTAGAGATAGAATTGGATGTATGTATGGCGGTTCTGTAATCGCGCTGTATCATGTAAGTAAATACGATATGAATTAATAAAACGCCAAGGAAAGCGAACCACATCAAGATTCCTTTACGGGAGTATGAGTACGGGCCTTTCCTTTCAATGAACGTATCTACTTTCCTTTCTGAAAAGTCGTCCGCGATATCTTTAAATTTCTGAGTTCTGTTTGGAGATTTCTTTAAAGTAGAGGTGTATTCGTACTTAGACTTGTTGTCTGTTACAGATGTGTTGTCTTTTTCGAATGGGCCGTCGTAATTAATATTTTGCCAAAATTCGATTTCTTTTTTATGATAAGCAGAAGGACATATGGTCAGGAATATGTTGGAGATGTTGTCGATGTATGGGGAGTTCAGAAACATCTGCATAAACACGATAATCCTCTGAAAACATTCACTGAAAATATCGTAACTTCGTAAAGTATTGAACGATAGAATATTGAATGACTCATTGAAAATTAAATCCGTAATTGTTATGAGGGAATCTGAACATTTTTTGAGACAGTTATAAATATCTAATGCGCAAATATGATGCATTGATATAATATCCTCTTTTGAGCATGGGTTCGTCATTCTTTGGTGAATTTCGCAAAATACTTCATCGCTTTTGAGATATCCTGATGGCTTTGTGACAACAGAGCGTGGGAAATGAGGAAGAGACATCTCGCTAACGCATAAATAGTAACTGACCATTGTAGATTCGCCAAATTTTCTTTGTAAAGCTTCTATATGAATACATTCAAAAATTTGTGAACAGCCTTGCATAGCAGCATAAGCGTAGATCTGAGCTGCTGTAGTTGGCGAATTTACCTCGTCAACAAAATCTGGAGATTGTATCGCAATTCTTGCCTTCTTTTTGAAATAGAATAGAATAACTTTGTGTATAATGGCAACGACAATTGCAAAGGCTACGTTGATACAGATGATTGTTGATTCTGAAACGAAATTTGTAATAAAATTGTAACAATACACGGAAGTACCTATCGTAAGTGAAACTATGAAGGTAATTGTTCCCAAAAACCTGCAAGTTATGTATGGCTTTGCAAAAAATATAATTCCATAAATAAAGGAAAAAGTTCCTGGGAATAAGAAGTAATATGAATTATTGAATATATAACCGATACTAGTAAACAATGGCATCAATACAAAGTAAAGGAAGTAAGGTAAGTATAAAATATTTTCTGTAGGATGAATCGAAAGTAAAACAAAGTTGTTAATGAACATGTACTTGAAACAACAGAAAATATTCATGAATAATACAGTTACTGCAAAAAGAATTATATCGCTACTTTCAACTTCGATTACTAAATATCTGTTAATTACTATTAAACATTGTAAAATGATCATCGGAGTGAAAATGGTATGTAAGAATGTATCGATTATTATATACAAATAGCCAAAGAAAGGTTTTACGACGCCTTCTTTTCGATAAGTAGCCAATGAATAGCAATAAATGATGAAATATGCGATGTAAACGAAAAATATATGACGAATGAAATCGAAATTGTTGACTATATCCGCATTTATTAAAACAATTTTTGAAAATAATTGCAATAAAGACACTAAATTTTCAAATTCGATTTTGTGAGTAAGTGGAAGGATGGTAAATAGATAGTTTTGGATTAAGAGAATGATGAGAACGACGTAATATACAAATTTTGGTAATGGACACCGACGAATTAGGTAAATTACAAAGTTAATTGGAACCTTCTTGTTAAGTGTTGCCTTAAAGTTCTCTAATGGGCTACTTTTACTATCATTCTCTCCATCCATTTAAAATAGTAACTAAAATCTATAACGATAGAAAAAGTTCAATTATTTTTATCAAAAAAATTTTCATTATTGACTATAGTGTTAAATGATGATTCTGGGTATTAAATTTGTCACTTTTAGTAAATTTTTATTACGACACTTTTACAACAAAATATGAGAGCATTTTTTATTTCATTAGATAAATTTTAGCCCGAGCTTAAGCATATTCTGATTTGAATCAGTGATGTATAATCTCAATGCTTACTCCACCCTTCAAGATTCTAGTTGATAATTGCAATTTTGCTAATCATCTCAGTGAAAATACTTTTTATCGTTACTCCATAAAAAATCGTGTTCTTCATGTAAATGCTACCTTAGTTATTGAGATTTAATTCCTAAAATGTATGAAATTTATTCAAAATGATGTTTCTTTCTTCAACTTCTAGACAGTTTCAAGGTAAACTATTATGAGTTTGATTATATTTGGCATAGATATATACATAATATTCATAAATAATAAAATTAATCAGATATATTTTTGTTAAATTTGAATAACTTTCTCAGAGTAAACACCTCAGCAATACCATTCGATACAACTAATTTTTGTATATAGTAAAAGCTGATTACTTTCCTACTTTCTATATTATATCGGTGCGTAGCGCCAATAGAGATTAATTGAAAAATATTGAGCATAAAAAATGAACGTTTTTCATGAAAATAATGAAATTTATGGAAAACAAATAGTAATTCTTCCTATATCAAGTGAGTTCGAAAAGGAAGAATATGAAAAGAAAGTAAGTAAAGCTACAAATGTTAGATTTTTGAATTATCCAGATTCAACTAATGGATTATTAACATTTCAACCATTAACAGAGGTTAGATGCTTAGATATGCGAGGAATTAAACTTACTGCTTTACCGCCAGAGATAGGTCTCCTTACAAATTTAGAATATTTAGATATTAGGGATAACTGTCTTGATTATTTACCTCCAGAGCTTTCGGAATGCTTAAAACTTAAAACTCTACTATATTCCGGCAACAGCCTATTCTATGTTTCTCAAATTCAAGCTCTTAACAATTTAAGACAGACAAATCAAGCTGAAGATTGCGCTCCACAGTTCAAATGGGCTGTTCAGAACGGCCAGTTCTCCATTATCTCATGGAATATCATTGCTCAGCATGAAGCTAAACAATCTCGCTTTCATTCCACGCCAGCACGTTATTTAGCATGGGAATACAGAATGGAGCACATTTTGAACATTGCCCAAATGCTGAAGCCAAGTCTCTTTTGTTTACAAGAAATCGAAGAAAAATCTCTTCATGAACTTACAGAAAGGATGAGAACAATTGGATATGGATGTGTTTCATCATTTGGCACAAGAACAAGAATTCCTGGTGCTCCACATTCAGGAATTGCGACATTTTTCTTGACCGCAAGATTATCAGTGGAAAGAACTGTTACAATTCAGTTTAGTGACCTTCCTGCAAATGAACAGATCACAAAACTGCAGCTCCTTGAAAATGATGCTATTTTCCAGTTGTCAGTTGTCAGATTACAGGGCCAATCTTTTTATTTGATCCATACTTCACTATTTCCAAATCATTTCGACTCGAAGATCATAGAAGCACAGATAAATATCATCTTGGACAGAGTTAAAGATCTTTCTGTTCAAAAAATCATTTGCGGAAGCTTTGGCTTTGAACCAAACTCAAAACCTTTCAATCTCATCAAAGCAAATGACCAGTTTAAGTGCGTGAATTATACAACGCCTGAATTTTTCACTCAATGGGAGAACGACGAAATGGTTATTTCAGATTATATCTTTGCCTCTTCTCAGATGTATCCAACCGGAAATCTCGTAACAACAACTCAAGAAGATGCAAAAAGTTACCATCATTTCATGCCAAATAACCAATGGCCATCATCTCATCTCCCTATTGGAGTTCTAATTGATATTAAGCTCAGCAACTAAGTATTGAATAAAAATATGTTTGTTTATATAATCATACATCATTGACAAATTTATTATTTTTTAAATATGAGTTCACATTTTTCATTATTGCATGTGCAATTTTTATAGTGATTTGATCAATTGAGAAATTCTAAAAAGTGTATTTTATTATTACTAGGTCACTAAATTCTATGCAAATGTAAATTCCTCCCTAACTCAGTTGGTTAGAGTGTCAGACTGTTAATCTGGAAGTCGTGTGTTCGAGACACACGGGAGGAGATTTTTTAATATTTTTAAAATACTATCTTCATATTACCTTTCTTTATATCATCAGATGTAATCACTCATTAGAGTAATCTTAACAGAGACAACTGAAAGCTTTACAACAGTTTAATAAAGTTCATATTTTATTAATTTAATATTCACAACTTTTTTTGATGAAACTCAGCCATTTCTTTATTATTGCATGCACATGCGCAATGAAGCGGATTTTTTTCATGAAGAGAACCTACATTGATATCACAATAGTGTTTACTTGAAAAGTTATAATCAAAAGCTTTTTTTCTCACTTTTTAGGACTCAATTTTAGATAAAAAAAAAACGAGTAATGAATTTAACATAAATAAAACTCCCATGTTTAAAATACTAAATTTATCTTCTTCCAGTACGACGCTGTGCCATACCTCCGTGACCGCCTGTGCAATTAGGAATATGCCTCCTAGCTTGCTCTTCACCGAACTTTCTGCCGCAATGAGGGCACTGAACTCTATCATCATCGACCAATTCGATCTTTGGCATCTCTGGTGGCGGGCCAACAGCTTCACCTCTTTCAACAGCATCTTGATATGCTTGCAGTTTTCTTGCAGCACGCATAGCTTTAACAAGTTCTTGATGTTGAAGTTTGTACTTTGGAACACCATTGATTGTTTCCTTCTTTGGTTTTGGTTTGTTCTTAGAGACCTTTGCAAATGATGCAGCTTCGCCTTCAAGACGTTGTTTGGAAGAATCGAAAACTTTTGTCTTTTTCATCGATTGTCTACGGCAAATTTCTTCATGCTTTTCAATTCTGTCTGAAGCGAATTTTCTGCCGCAATAACTGCAAGAAACACGATCATCGTTGGCATCTGCTTCTGCAGGTGGTGGTGCATTTCTACGTAATGTCTTGTTAAGTGCGCCTCCAGCTGATGGTTTCTTTGCAGGAGCAGGCTTTGGAGACTTTGGTGGTGTATCAGCTGCAGCTGCAGCTTTTGCACGAGCTGCTTTTTCGCTTGGTAATGTCGGTCTCTTCTTTGGAGCTGGTGCTGGTTCATCGCCACCCATATCTCCATCATCCATTGGTGGTTTTGATGAATTCGATGATTTTGGAGTAGGTGCTTGTTTTGGTGATACATCTTGTTTTGGCGCTTGAGCTGGAGATTGCTTTGGAGATTGTGCTTGAGGAGGTGTATCAATGCTACGAGATATATTTGATGTACTCTTCCTAACATCCTGAGTTGATGATGGAGAAACGTTATTTGAAGCTTCGCGCCTACTGGATTGTTTTCCAAATTGTCCTGAACGTACATCTAAAATAAACTTCTTTAAAAGGAGTCTATGACCGATTTTAAAGACGCCCATTTCTTTAAGGTGGGATTCTTCGAGTAAAGGTATAACATTTCCGCTAATTTCGTTGGCTCTGAAGTCTGTAGCATATTGGTCAAGTCCTATCTCTCCTAGGTACTTAATAACATCGTCTACACTCCATTCTAAAACAGACATTTACTTTTTTACAATAATTTTATATAGAACCTTAAATATTTGATTCAAAATGTAAAATCAGGAAATTAGCCGATATCATATATCAAAGTAACCATTTTATAAGTAGCAAAATCCAGAGGACAAAAGGAAATAGAGGTAGGGCAACGATAGGTCAAAAAGGCTTCTCTGATAGATTTCCTTGCCTTTTGGATATGCTATAATATATAGCCTAGCATGATAGGATATGATGTCAAAAGTTAGAACATAACTTAGGATCTTGAGAAAAATGAAAAACAAAAATTACATAAAAAAAGAAAAATTTTATCTAATTTGTTTTTTTGGACCGAATAAGTAATTTTATTGAATTTCAATACGACACATAGATTTTATTATTAGTAATAAATATAATTGTTTACTATTAACAAGGAACCTAAACTAATGAAAATTTGATTTCAAATATTGTATATGATTATCATAGATTACCAAAATATATTGCTATTTATGAGGATATAATATTGATTATTAGTAAATCGTATAAATTTAATAAATATACCATGAATATTGAATGAATTTCTTGATTCATAGGGGTAAAACGCGCTTTTATATGATTTAGACAGAGAATTTATGAGATGTAAATAACACAATAAAGGTTTATATTGAATATTTTCTAAAAATAAATCGAAATTATAAAAAACAATACATTTATTCATTGAAACTACTTGGACAAATATGAAACAAGCATTCAGGCAATACTTTTGAGACTTCAACGCATCTGATAATTTTTATATAACTTCACCTCTTATGCTTAGAGTGGAGGTATTGAGATCGTATAAGTATAGATGAGCTCACATTCAGATATGATGTGTGAACTTCTGTTTTCACTGCAATTTTTGAATCAGAATAAACTCAAAACAAGAATAAAATGATATACTCACTCTCTAAATGTGTTCGAGATTTAAAGTTGTATGAATAAAACGATTCATCTTTCGAAGCCTCCCATTTAATGAGAGACTTCGAAAGATGAATGTATTCATGTAGATGAAATACTATATATGACCATGTGTGATACTAAAGATATCAAAATGTTCATTTTTAAGTGCAATAGAAGGGTTATCTCTCGTAAAATCTCAATTTAAGGAAGATTTAGAAAGAACTCCTTTCCTAAGTAGATAGTGTGTGGTTTCTGTCTTTTGGTTGATCAGGAACTATGAAATTAAGTCGGACAGAAAGAAGTTCTTTCCAAAACAGACTCCAAATGAGTTGTTCGAAAAGAACTTCCTTCTGTATATGGATAATTGTAGTTACCGCACTGAAGTATGTGATTGTGATGATGGAGTTCTCGATAAATCTAAAATCGGATTAAGATTAATTGAAAACTCAAGTAATTCTTTGAAATCTTGTGTTGTCTGGCACTATAATAACCAAAGAATGAGAATATTATGTTGAATGATGAGTACGTGTGCTCGGCATTCGCCGAGCGAATTGAGTTTAACGTACTATGAAAAGTGACAAATTTGGGCTTTTTTTCCTAGGGTTATGATCTCTTCCTTTCTGCTCAATACGACAGAAATGAAAGAATGAATTTGTACTCCCTAATTGATTACTACAATCTGTATCTATCTTTAACATAGAATTAGCTGCATTGTGATTTATACTCCAGAATTATTCAATTTAAGATCAACCTCGTAAATTTTAATCATATTGCACCAATACTCCTACGTTGAGATAAGAACATGATTATACATACCAAAGCCCCATATTAAAAATCAAAATTTAGCACCTCCATTATGCAACCACATTATTCGTCGCAAATAAGTATATTTACGCATATTATGATGCATATTCACACAACTCGTATACATGAAAAGTTATTAAAATCAGACAAAATTATTGCAATAAGGAAAAAAAAACAACTTTATTATATATGTTAGTAATGAATTACAAATATTTCTACAAAGAATGCTCAATACTTCATATAATCTTCGAATATTTCTTATTACAAGTTAATACATTTTGACTCGAACATGATAAACAAAAGCTGACACGCTGATTACTACATTTATGAAAATATAGTACGTTTCCATTCATCTGTTTACTTGTTTTTGTTGGAATAAAATCATTTTTTTTTTCTTTCATGAAATAAGAATTTTGCTGCGAAAGCAATATCTCTAACAATAATTAATACATTACGTCAACTCTGGAATGAGTATTTATCAAATATGATATCAAAATCAAAAATTAGTTGTTTTTTATGAGTAAAAACGATGTAAATTGATTATTTGACTAATTATCAAATACTTTGATTTTCCAAATTTTTTTCGAAATTGATTTTTTCATGTGAAAATTCAAATTGTTTAATTTCATTTTTGAAATTTTGAATTTTTTTTGGAATTTTGAGTTGATCAATTCAGCAGAATTGATAATGCTATTGCTTTAGGGCATACCACAAGGTGATGAATAAAAGGTGAACATTAACAAATTATTTTAAATCACAAATATCATCCTCATCAACTTTAATTCTAAAAAGAACTGTACTGAATTATGAAAATGCATGATTTACATTATTAAAATCTTTGAATGAAAATAGTACAAGATAAGTTTTTATTCATTTTTAATTAGATTTAAACGAAAAACTACTCCATATTAAAATTTAAGTCGAGAAATCGTATTTTGTTCTTATTTGTTAGCATTTTGTAGACATTCTAATCTTGAATTAATTTGTTACATGATATTATTAACAAATTTAACTGAAAAAATATGTTAATATGGAATAAACCATGATTATATAAGCTATCAATGCTATATATACATATGTAAAAGATTCATATTAACTCAATTAACAAAAATGATAGATTTTCATAAAGGTTCAATCTAGGTTCGTCCGAAAATTTTGATTTTTATATAGAAGACATAGTTTCATATACATAATTAAATTTTCAAACAAATTTGATCATACCATTTATTAAGCAGGATAGTATATTAATTACTATCAGTATAAAAATATAAAAATGATTATATTTAATTATTGCATAATTTAGTCAAAGAGTTATAAGCCTCAAGTGATCGTTATCACCTTCAATGCACGTATACTTTATTGATTCATAGATATTTAATCTATGTTTGACATGTTGTTGTCGTCATTCGTTTTGTTCCCATTCTTCCTAAGTTAGAATTAGAGAATACACCATCCACATCATCTAATTTGGTCCTCAGCGATAGATTGGTTCATTTTGGAGGAGTCCCATCAGACAGTTTTCGAGCACCAAATATCAAATTTTAATGTATACAAATCTTTAGTGATTTATCTCTTTTATGATGAGTAAAAGGTTTCTGCTCATCAACATTTGATTTCCGACATATATGATTTCTAATTGCAATTATTTACTTTCTTTTTATAACCTAACTCTGTGACTCATACCATAAATTAATTATTGGAAAGTGTCAATATGTTTGGCACAACGCATGGCGGAAGATACCAAACCATGCAGGGAATATGATACGTTTAAGATCTCCGAACTTTTTTTCCAAAAATTTTCTATCATTGCCCTACCTCTAAGGAAATCTTTTCAGATATAATCAAGCCTTCCTCAACTAGATGCCATGCCATTTAGCTCACAAGATGGTACAAGCTTTCAGCATAGGTGTTTTTGCGATACGAAATCAAAGGAATAAAGAATCGAAAATTTTAAACGGCTATTGAAGATTTTTTAAAAGTTTGATATTAGAACCATATACCAACAATATTGTTTAATTTGAAACAATTTTAATTTCAATACCTCCACATAAAAAATGTTAACTCCTCGCAGCCTTCGACAACAACGCACTTCTAACCAAGCTAACCAGAAGGAATTTGCAGGTGTAAACTTATACAAATTCGATTTTCGTGATGATGATCCCAAATTCGTTAAAATACCGAAAGCAGATCCTAAAAATCCACAATCTATCGAGCCTATGCTCAAACTTGCTACAAAATCTCTTGAGCTGAAGAGACCAGCGCAGCAGCTATTTACAGAAGATAATCAGCCAATTACAGAATTTTCACAAATTCAACAAGACATGAATATCTACGTTTCTTGCACTGCTGCATACCAAGATGAATCAGATCAACCAGTATACAAATCTCGCCTTCCAAAAACATACGCAGCCGGAAAGAAAACACTGCCACTTGTACCACAACCAGAAGTCAAGCCAAAACCAGAAGCATATCAACATATTGCAATTGCAGCATCACAGTATACAGTTAAGGAAAATCTAAGAGATTCACTCTTAAGTTTGTATAATTCTTTATCCCCAGCACATAAATCGCAACTTCCATGTGCAGCAGCTCTTCAAAAGTTGTCTGATGATACGCAGCAGTATTTAGTTGAAGATTCATTACTTTCTCAGTTTATTGGACCAACAACTGTAATCAGCGATACACCACTCGGCCAACAAACAACACAATGGGCAATGGAACACCTCAAGGGCTTAAATCCAGAAGCTTGCCGCTTTTCGATAACAGGTCCTTCTCAATCTGGAAAATCAACTTTACTTAACATTCTCGTTTCTCTTTTCTATCAGAAATTACAAATTTCTCAAGAAACATCGCATTACTTGATCTTTCCAATTAATTGGCAACTTCAACAGATTTATATCGAAGATATTCCAAAGCTTTACAGTATTATCGTGACTACAACACTTGCTTCTCTTCGTGCTTCATGCATGAGATTAGTTCCAGTAATTAATACTTTCCAACAATATCTTACTTCACTTATTGAGATGCCGCTTCTTCCTGCAGTTCCTCCTCCATTACAGAAATTCCCAGGCTTCCCAACTACATTAGTTCAGCAGATTGGATCCCAAATCCACCGCACATGGAATAATCCAGAGGGATTTGAAGATTTCCTTAACTTAATGTTCTTACTTCCAGATAATCTTGCTAAATGCTTTGGTTTCAATAACGCTGTTTACGTTGTTGACCATTACGACGCATGTTGTCTTGCAATTGAGGCTCCTGAGAAGTTTACAGCCCAGAAACCATTCTCTATCCCTGCATCCTTCAACAAAGCTCTTAATGTCTGCCCATTCTTTGTTGCTTCTCTTGATGATGGAGAATTCTTCAAATACTTCGATGTCGATAGCCTCCATTTGAAGACAGAATACATGATTAATCCTGATCCAATGCCAGATATATTAATTAAAGATCCACAGATGACAATTAAACAATCAATGTGCAATGGATGCCCAGGTTACTGCGCTCTTTACAAGAAGGTAGTCAACTTGGCCCGTGAAGCTGAAGAGAAAATGGCCATTAAAGAACAGTTTGCAAAACTTAGATCTGTTGTTGACATTGCAAGGCAAGAAATGCTCCATCAACAGGTCTACAAATTGTGCATATTATTAAAGGAAGTTAGTGAGGAATTTATTGACGCCGGTAAACTCACGAAGATTGGTGAATTACAAGAACTTAATATTACAATCCACTGATATTTCAATGCTTTTTTAAAATAACGTATTTATTATTAATTTAATTATTTTTCTTATATATTTTTCCCTATTGATTTCGTTTTTGACTTAAATTCATTTCGAAATCCTAATTTCACATCATTTTTCGGATAAACCAATCATTAAAATATGCTCCATATGTATAATATCAATGAATCACCATGAATTTATCCTTTGGAGTCTTGTTATATTCGTTTAGAAAAAAATATTATTATAATGATTGTATTTATTTATTCTAACACCAGTAAACTTGTAATATGAAAATAACTGCTGTGAAAAAACAATTTATTTCGCGTCAAACCAATGCTGTTGAGAAGAAACTTGGCGGAACTTTCTTTTATGGAGTTTAAGATCTGCTGTACTTCCTGGTGGTGGGAGGGGAGCATCCGGGCCTGGATAGTAGTATTTCATTGCAATCATTAATTGTTGTGGTAAATCAAGGGCTTTATTTTGGGATTTCCTTTTCTTGGCTTTCTTTGCAGCCTTTTGTTGAATCTGCTTTTGCTTTTGTTCGGAAACTGTCTTGATTAAATTTTCTGCGAGTTCTTTAGCTTTATCTACATGTTCTTGTGTATCACCTATGATTGTCAGTTTTGCAGGAGCATCTTCAATCTGATTTAGTGTCAAGGATGGAGTTGAAACTAAAGATAACTTACATTTTGATTGCTCTTCGATATATCTAAGATATGATCTATTAGGACCTTCCATATTAGCAACTACATTAAAATTCTGTGTACTGGCAACTCCTACGTCTAAAGTTATAGTTATGAAATTATCAGTCATTATTTTGACAGTAAAAAGTGACAATTATTTTGATTCTCATATTTCTCTTACTTTTCCAGCGATAAACTCTTCAATTATATAAGTGTTCCTTGATTTCAAAGAGATTTTTGTACTCAGCCAATAAAATTGCCTTACATATACTCTGATTTCAGGAATAGAAAAAGTTCCTTAATTGATAAATAAAAATTTAACGCTAAAGTTGATACCATAAGTCGAAAGTTATATAAAGACTCGGCTTTATCTATTGCAGCCACATTTTTATATAAGTTTATAACTTACGTATAGCCCAATGAGCACTAGACTTGATCATTCTGATGCACAATATGAGTTAAAATCTATTAGATATAATAAAATTCTATCATTATCAAGATTATTCTTTTTGTTTAAAAATTGAGGTTTATAATAAAAGAATGTCATAACTTAACGACTATCTACTATTTTAATCAAAAATAAGAAGTCATTTCCGAAATTGTAATTATTTTGAACATTTTGTCTATATTTTGTCAATATATTTTGTATCTATGTCTGAAACATGTTTTTCACACGCTTTCCATAAATTTCAGACAGCCATACCCTTTCAAAAGTTGTCATTTGGAAATTTTAACACAAAACCGACATTTCACTTGTTAAGCGCTTTTTACTTTCTGATGGCATCTAATGACATCAGTGTATGACATATTTTAATAACAAAAAAGTATAACAACCATAATATGATCTATATAATGCATTATAATAACTTTTTATCGACCAAAAATGCTAACTCTTCACCTTAGAAATTGAGAGATAAAAATAATATCAGAAAGTGATACAACAACAAGATAATAATTTATTTAATTTTTATGGATATTGTCCTTCAAAATACTCTGAAAGTCTGGATGCCAGTTGTTCTCGTTCAGCAATATCATCCCATATTGAATCTCTCGCATCAATCAGTTGAATAACTACATCATATATATCTTTATTTTTAGTTGCCATCGTTCTAACATGCACCATAATTCTGGTTGAAAAAGCACGTAATGTTACATGATCACAGTGCACTTTTGATGCAAAAAATGGTAATATTTCAAGTGCTGATAAAATTAAGTCTTCTTGCTTGAGACATGCATAGTAGAAATCTTCAATTACATTAATTAAGTAAAAATGATCTGGATATCCATCAAGAAGTATAGGAATTGATCGTATCAACCCAATATCTAAGATTACTTCGTTATTTCTGCCAATAAAGAAATATAAAAACATTATACTAGTTATTACATATACAGGACATCCATCTCGTCCTAAGTTATTGATATTATTAACAGCATTTATGATCTGATTTTCAAATAATTCTGCTGTTTTGTCATTTTGAAGCGTATGATAAGTTAACCAAAATACATTTTTGACTTCTTTCGGAGCATCGTCAATATCGACAATGAAATTAGAAAGATATGATGGATCAAAGATAATAGTTTGAAAAATTTCGATTCTTGAACACTTTCTTAACATTTCAAGGGTGTTTTGCAGAGATAACATAAACGAATGACTGTTATAATCAATTTTCTGCTTTAATTCGTTAAAAAATTCCAAAATTTTAATGAAAAAGTTTCTTTCAAAGAGATATTTTTGTATATCCTTACAATTTGGAGATTTAGTCAATAAATTTCGAAATAATATTAGACAATCTGGATATTTAATGAATTGAAATAGATGAATTATTCCTTCGAACAGTTCCGAGTTTGACAAGGTAAGGTTTTCGACAAATATACTTGACAAAATAGAAATCAGTCTCAAAATTTGCTCATATTTGAATTTTTCATCCAAAATTGCTTTTATATACATGATAGTACGTGAACCTTCATATATTAACTGGCTTAGAGGATTGTGTGAATTTGAACAAATTAAAAAAGCCATTGAAGATTGACTTCCTTCTTCGATATGAATCGCATGACGAAGAAGTCTATCACTATTCTGGTTTACAACGTCTTCTACATTTGGAAAGAAGTTCGATTCTCTATTTATGTAATCTTTGTAAACATAAGGTGTATCTAGCATTGTCAAAAAAATATCATTCATTAATGAGGGTTTTAAAAAAACCGCCGTTTGATGAAAATTGAGAGCCCATGAATACTTTTTGACATTTTCAAAAACTTTGAAAGGATAAGTCAAAAAAGTGTCAAAAAGATTACAAATATATACTTTCTGACGAACAGACTATCAGAAAGTGCTCAAGCTGCGGTTTTGAATTTCCGATTTTTTTTTGACTTATCATCTTTATTGGAAATTAAAAACCGCAGATTTCAAAATAAATAAGATAAACAGAATCAGTAGGCCCAAAATATGAATGGTATGATCTTAGTTTGAAAAGTTACTAAAAGAATAAAAAGATTTGTGAATTACGTTTTAATTTCAATAATTTTTATCAATTAATTATAGTGTTATGATTTACATATCAAATTTAATTTCAAATATAAGTAAATATCAATATTCATTATTTGTATTTCAAATTTAAGTATAATTTGAGCTTTTGAATAAAACCATAATACTCCCAGCTTACGTGATTATAGTTTATTATGTAATATCCTGTTTATCAGGTAAATACCCTTCATTTCCTGGTATCATCGTCACTTTTATTTTGGTGGTAATTTTTGTTTAAATCATAACTCGATGAATATCGTGTTCTAGAATACGAGAATAGCATCACTAGTTAGAGCACATACTAAATATAAATACTTTGTACTTTTTATTTGTTTTTGATATCATGACCTAATGAGATAGTTTAAGGAAATAAAAGTCATATTAAATAAATTAAATATTATTTTTATACAATGTAGTATCTATTTATCATATTTTTTATGAATTTACTAAAGAAAAATTTTTGCATTTCAAAAACGTTGATTCCAGGCTCGCATCAAAATTGGTATTTACATAGTATGATTCGTGCGAAAATATAATTAAAATCCAAAAAGGAGATTCAACCAAACCGTTTAACCGCCAAAAATGAAATATTGCCAAATACAAAAAGAATTAAGCCAAACAAATTTACAATGTATGTACTATTTATTTTTTATACTTTCAATATTTTTTAATTTTTTTTATTAAATATTAGGTTTTGGAATGATTCAGTTATGTATTCATGTAAATCCTATAGGTAGAAAGCATCTTTGAGCTTCAAAATTTTGAAATCTCTTAACAATAGTGCCAATTCAGTAGCATATTTTAAAACTTGGATTAGTTTGGTATTCTTTAATAATATATGATGACATTGAAGAATAATGAGCTTAATCTCTAAGGGCATCCGGTTTCAAATTTCTGACAAAAAAATTTGAAAATTGTAGTTTTACCATTTTAATTTTACCAATATACGATTTACTTAATAAACTGCTACGAATTGTATTTAAAATGATTTATTGTAAAAAATCTTTAAAAACTAAAAATTGGGGATTTGGGATTGAAATATCTTTAAAAATGGCTAATATAATGATTTAAAATTATTTAGAATAAAAAATATTCAATACTAATAATAAATGAATTAAAATCTATATGCTAACTAACAAATTCAAGTAATTTTAGATTTTATGTAGCAATACTAAACATTGTGATGAATACTGATACTATTTTTTCTTTCTTAGTACAAATACTTGTAAATGACTGAAAAATGCTCAATCATTCCAATTGTTCATTATCAACATATTCTTTATGAATAGACAAGGATATGAACCCAATAAAATATTCTTATGTCGTGGAAACATTTTAAATTGAATTTAATTTAACTATTTTAACTTAAATTTGAATAAAAATCTCATAAACTTTATTGCTTATGATTGGATTAAGTATCAACTATGAGCTGTCAATATATTATTAATAAAATATGATGAACAAAGATTTGCAATAAAATTCAATTCAATATTTGCATTATTTAGGAGGTTTAGTTATGCATGAATATAGATAACGTTTCTCCCAAGTAATTTGTGATGTTTTTTTGATATGGAAGGAATAATTGAAGATTATCTTTGAAAATAATTGTCCACTTAATATAAATACAAACTATTGTAACCATATGTGTAAATCTTATTGGTATGTAGATAAATTTAATGGTGAATTTGTTTATCTATTTTGATAAAATTCATTTTTTCATTCGATAATTTTTCAAATCATAGTCATTATTCATGTATATTAACATGGCCTGTTTTTGTGATTACTACATATAATAGCAACTTTTTGCTGAATGAATAAAAAATATCTGTTAATTACTAACCGAATTACTATTCTAGAACTACAAAAAATATTTTGATGCAAATCTATTCATTTTGTGAGAGTTTTGCAATTTTTTCAAAATTTATAGTTTGAGATGATGGATTACCCATGAATTTCGAAAAAAATCAAAATGAAAGAGTTCTTAATATAGAATGTTTTTGATATAGAAATCATGGCTAAATTTTGAGTATTCATTGAAATATATGCATTGAAAAATCTTGTAAAGTATTCAAATTTGCAGGTTTGTTCGAATTTTAAACTTAACATACAATCGTTTTGAATGATAAAGTATATTTTTTATTAGGGCTGTACAAGATTTAAAAAAACATTGCCGGGTTACCGTAGAGGCCTAAAAAAATCGCGCCTCGGCGGCAAGCCGCCTCGGCATTAAGAATGCGCATCTAAATTTTTATATGTCCTTCTTTCTTTTATTTTTCCCTTCCCTTCCTTTTCTTTTTCTTTTTTTCCCTCCTCTTGCTCTCATTTACCTTTTTTTTCCTTTTCTCATCATTTTTCAAAATTTAAAATTTTTATCAAAAATCTTGCCTATAAAAGCAGATTATGGAACCTTTTAATGCCTCTTAATCAATATTATACAGCATAAAGCATATTAAATGAAAGTAATTACGTATAAATTTATTTTATTATCTTATTTATTAATTCTTTAGCATGTATTGTTTAATATTAACTTTTCTGTACATTAAATATGATATCTCCAAAGTATGAATGCCTTTAACGAAACGAAAACTTAATTTTATGTTGAATAT